GGAACAAACTGGACAAGACAACGTTCATTCCAGCTGTGAGTGGTCACCCTGCTGCAGTTTTCAGACCCCTGTGGCAAGGAAAACTATTGGTTGCATATGTTAATCAGAATGTGCAGACAAACAACATAACATGTATTTTCCTGTAGGTTCTGACAAGCAACATACAGACATACAATAATGAGTTGAGATACTTGAGAGGAAAGTCTATAAAAACTAATTTACTTTCAAATATCCAGCAATATTTATGTTAACAAGAAGATATCGTATGAGAAGATACAGGGGGGAGAACAATAGTGGTAGCTGCAATAAGAACAAGCACATCCAAGTTTCAAGTTTATTGCGGCCAAAGCCAGTGACACTAAACACCATAAGATCAGACAACAAGAAAGCAGCAACAACTTCAGAAAAGAAAAAAGGTTACACAAGAGAACTTCACAGTGTGCCATTCAACAGAACAGATTTACGCTTCTAATTACTAAAGTGCAACATTTAGCCACCCCATGATACTGAGCTTGGAGGAATCTTCCAGAGTGTATTTTTCAAGAGTTTCAGGGGAGGGGATTCTAAACACATTGAAGGGGTATAAACTTTGATAGAAGCTGGTAAAATAAGGAACTCGTTCTTCACTATAGAATTCAAGACAAAAGAATGTGTGTGATAGATCTTACCCATTAGATACATAGCAGAGATCGCGCCTACTGAACCTGAATTTGGCTGCACAGCACCACGAGGCACATAACTTCAAAGGGCCTCTAGAGAAAGCCCATCATAGGTTTCGTTAGTGATGTTAGTTAAGTAAGGGGTACAAAAATTAGCCAGCTTTTATACATCTATACGTCTCTGGGAGTAGGGCGCCTCTTGTTGTAATTGACATCATAAAGTCTCGGGAGGGGATAGTAGCGGTCTGTTCAGAGTTCCAATAAAAATATTTTCAGGTTTAGGCCAATTTGTTTGATCTTGTTATTATTTGCATAAGCCAAGGAGGTAGAATCGCTATACAGGAAGCAAGGTAACAGGACCCTAGACAATGGATTTTCAGCCAGAGGATGTCATTTGTCCCCAGATCCTGACCACCCTGGGCAGTCCTGGGCCCTTTGCCTTAAGACTGCATTAGGTACACTTAGGAGCAGCAAATAATGATCTTAAGAATTTAGATTGTACTGTTTCAAGGGTCTTAAGGTTGGCAGAGGGGCTAATTTGAGAGCCATATAGAAGTTGGGCTAAAGATTTTGCCTGAAAGACTGTTAGGGCCATCGGGAGGAAGCCAGCTCCTTTCCTTCTGAATAATCTAAGGATAGCATTTGCACTTCTTTCTGCTGATATAGCTGATGTGGTCAAGTGTGTTGAGAATTTGGCATTAGAAGTAAAGTAATGCCTAAGTATTGGAAGGTCTTAGTCTGTTCAATGGCGTTTCCCTTTACGCTCCAATTATCCTTCCTAAAGGAGCGGTTAAAATGTACAATTTTGGTTTTGGCAAAATTAATTGTTAACAGTTCAGTGTTACATTGGTCACTAAACTTTCCTAAGGCACGTTTCAGACCCACTTTGGTTTGAGAGAGAAGAACAGCGTCATCCGCATACATTAAAATTGGTACTTTTCTGCCATTAGAGAACACAGGGGGTGGGTTTCAATTTCACGGCAGCATGTGACCAGGGAGTTGACATAGATATTAAATAGGAATGGGGCTAATAGGCATCCTTGTCTAACTCCTCTTTGGACTAGGATTTCTCTAGAGAGTCTGCCGTCCTGTGCAAGTCTTATCTGGAGGGTATTGTTCTCATGAAGCTTAATCATCAGAAGTAATAACCTTCTGTTAATACCCATATTGGCCAATTTGGCCCAGAGCCTGCTCCTGGATACAGAATCAAATGCTGCCTTTAGGTCCACAAAGGCCGCATATAATGACTTTTCCAATATTTCGCATACTTATAGACAAAGTAATCTAGCACTAAGCAGTGATCAATGGTGGAACGTCCGGATGTAAACCCTGCTTGTTCAATTTCTAGCAAGTTATTATGATCTAACCATTCCCATAATTTTAGGCATAGATGTTTTGTATAAAGTTTACAGATCACATTCAGGAGACTAATTGGTCTATAATTAGATGGATCCGAGGGGTTGCCCATCTAGACCTATGCGAACAATTATAGCTAGTCCCCAATCTTTAGGGATTTCAGTTGTCTTATCTATATATGAAAATAGATTAGCAAGGACCGGGGCCCACCAGTTTATTTGCGCTTTCAGAAGTTCAGCGACAATGAAATCACTTCCTGGGGCTTTGCCAGATTTCATTTGTAGAATTAGCGAAGTGATTTCAGTTTCAGATGTTGGGGGCCATGGTGTATCATTATCTAGGGGATGTTAAGCGGCGCAGAAGGACGATGTTCCCTAAACAGCACTTTATAGTGCTCTTCCCATGAATTTGCAGGGATTATTGTGCCTTCATTAGGAGCTTTGGTTTGACTGGAGATAATTTTCCAGAAGTTGGAATTGTCTTTTTCTATTGACGCTTTTATGAGGGCCTGCCAAATGAGAGAGTCTGCGGTGCTGTGTTTGGGTTTTAATAACTCTTTGTAGGTCTTTTTTGTTAAGTTGTAACTCCAATTTAGTGATAGGGTTAGGATTTCTCTTAAAGGCCAGTGTGGTGTAGTGGTTAAGAGCGGTAGTCTCGTAATCTGGGGAACCGGGTTCGCGTCTCCGCTCCTCCACACGCAGCTGCTGGGTGACCTTGGACCAGTCACACTTCTCTGAAGTCTCTCAGCCTCACTCACCTCACAGAGTGTGTGTTGTGGGGGAGGAAGGGAAAGGAGAATGTTAGCCGCTTTGAGACTCCTGAAGGGGAGTGAAAGGCGGGATATCAAATCCAAACTCTTCTTCTTCTTCTACTTGGCCAAAATGAACACCATACATTTGAAGCACTATGATGCCACTTTATACTGTCATGGCTTCCCCCAAGGAATTCTGGGAGCTGTGGTTTGTCAAGGGTGCTGAGAGTTGCTAGGAGGCCTTCCTTCAAATAGCTACAATTCCCAGGGAATTATGGATCATGTTAGCAAGAGATTTTAACAGTACAGTGGTACCTCGGGTTAAGTACTTAATTCATTCCGGAGGTTCGTACTTAACCTGAAACTGTTCTTAACCTGAAGCACCATTTTAGCTAATGGGGCCTCCTGTTGTCACCGCGCCGCCAGAGCACAATTTCTGTTCTCATCCTGAAGCAAAGTTCTTAACCTGAAGCACTATTTCTGGGTTAGCGGAGTCTGTAACCTGAAGCGTATGTAACCTGAGGTACCACTGTACTAGGCTTAAGGAAAGTATATTTCTCAAGTCCCTTAAAAGATCTTTCTTTACTCCTCCATGTAAGGTAAAAAAAATATGACCATGTTGGCAGATACCAATTAGAACAGTGATGGCCAAACTTGGCCCTCCAGCTGTTTTGGGACTACAATTCCCATCATCCCTGACCACTGGTCCTGTTAGCTAGGGATGATGGGAGTTGTAGTCCCAAAACAGCTGGAGGGCCAAGTTTGCCCATCACTGGATTAGAAGAACGCTAAACTGAAAGTATAGAGGCAAAGTGTATGGTAGGTGAGAGAATAGCTAGTTTAATGAAAGTGCGACTGCAATCTATTATTCATTCTTAATATTTCTATGAGAGGATAAGGCAATAATTAAGAACAAACCATTGAAGCAGCAAACACTTAAGGTTCATTTAAACAGTATGAAATGTTGCACTAAGCCATGGGTGGGCAAACTAAAGCCCTGGGGCCGGATCCAGCCCAATTGTCTTCTAAATCCGGCCTGCGGACAGTCCGGGAACCAGTGTGTTTTTACATGAGTAGAATGTTTGCTTTTATTTAAAATGCATCTCTGGGTTATTTGTGGGGCATAGGAATTTGTTCATATTTTTTTTTCCAAAATATAGTCTGGCCCCCCACAAGGTCTGAGGGACAGTGGACTGGCAACCTGCTGAAAAAGTTTGCTGACCCCTGCACTAAGCACTAAAGCAGAGACTTCTGGGATCACAATATCTATCTATTTTGGTAGCTCTTAATGTAGGGTGCCCAAACCGATTTGGATTAGAAAATGCATTTGTTTGATTGGACTCGGATAAGCTTGCATTATGGATTGGTGATATTCACCCAGATTCATATTCACAACATGCACAGAAAAAGCTCTGTGCAGCTTGTCGGAGCCCCTGGCAGGGGCCCTCTGGCCAGCTTAGCCCTCCGAGGCCAGGGGCAAGTGGGCTTGGCTGCCCCCCACCGCCACCCCACTGCCCAGGAGGCTACTTTTGAATTCATATAATAAACGTCTGGTGCTAGATACATTTGGATTAGGTTAAAATAAAATCTTACTGAGGTCCATCAGAGCTTTATCATAGACTTCGGGGAGGACTGGTTTTCCAGATAGATTTTCATGCACAAGAAAGTACTGTATTTTCTGGCGTATAAGACTACTTTTTAACCCAGGAAAATCTTCTAAAAAATCATGGGTCGTCTTATACGCCGGCTACAGCAGCAGCTCCTACAGCAACTCCCCACCAAAGGATAAAATGACAGCAAATTAAATCAGAGGACACCAAGCTCTCTAGATGAAGCAGAAATATGCTTGAAAATTGGCCCCAGAAGCCCCTGGCCGCTGGGAAGTGGAGCGGATTTCTGAGCCAGACTGGAGACTGGTTTTTTAAATTTTTATTTGGTGTGCGTTGGAAGAGGGGTAGTCTTATACGGCGAGTATATCCGAAACTCTATATTTTAACTGGAAAAGTTGGGGGGTCGTCTTATATGCCAAGCCGTCTTATACGCCGGAAAATATGGTACTATGCATACTGCTTTAGCTGAGATTCCCGCATTCTAGGGGGCTGGACTAACTCCAAGATTCTATGAAGTTTTCTGACTTTCTGCATCTCACCAAATTTCACCCCCCAAACTGCTGCAGTGTATCTTTCATCCATTGTAAAGAAATGCCACAAAGGTCACTGAATCTCTAAGCTAAGCTACAGCCGAGATGTGTTTACAAAACCGAAAGGCGTGTGGATAAGTCTGACAAACTGGCATGGCAAGAACTGGGCATTCATGCTTTTCAGTAGAGTTACTGATGGGACATTATCCTCCAGGACATTTCCCTGAGCTGGGAAGCCCTGGCTATGTAACTTCTTAGCAAGGACTGTTGCTATGAGGCGGTTGTACCCTTTCCTGCGGTGTTCCGGCAAAGTATAACCATGGATCATAGTAGCAAATTGGTCCGTCAAACCCCAGGCAATGGGGCAGCCCCCTTCATCCAGGACACAGGTACTAGGGAAACAGGAAATGAGGTTGGCAAGGTATTTTCGGCATTGTTCGCTTCCTCCTCGGGACCATGTGCTGTTCAGCAGGCTGGCATGGGAGACATCAAGGGAAGCAAGCTTGGGTGGAGGTACTAGCCTAAAAAAGATTTATCCACTTAAAATGTGCTGTAAAATCCATAAGGTACACACAAAAACAGGGAATACATACTAAGGGGCTTATCCTCTGCTCTTTCCAGGCACAGTGAGCACTTTAAAGCTCTGTTTCCGAGTGCCCGTCATATAATAATAATAATAATAATAATAATAATAATAATAATAATACATTTTTATTTATACCCCGCCCTCACCAGCCAGGGCCAGGCTCAGGGCGGCTAACACTGAATATAAATTACAATAAAACATAATAGAAAAAAAAGAAAAAGAAAGAAAGTTAATTAAAATTCGGCTTAAAATATGGTTTAAAATACAGCTGAAAATGCAGCCTCATTTTAGTAGTAGCCCATAAATCAAGACCATAAAGGGAGGAAACATTTATATACCAAATCCCATATAAGGAGTCAGAGTGAGTCCAAGCCGAAGGCCAGGCGGAACAGCTCCGTCCTGCGGAAAGATGTCAAATCCAGCAGGGCCCTGGTCTCTTGTGACAGAGTGTTCTACCAAGTCGGGGCCTGTGCTGAAAAGGCCCTGGCCCTAGTTGAGACCAATCTAACCTCCTTGAGGCTCGGGACCTCCAAAGTGCTGTAATTTATGGACCTTAAGGTCCTCCTCGGGGCATACCAGGAGAGGTGGTCCTGTAGGTATGAGGGTCCTAGGCTGCATAGGGCTTTAAAGGTCAAAACCAGGACCTTAAACCTGACCCTGTACTCCACCGGGAGCCAGTGCAGCTGGTAATGTGATCCCACAGCAAGGACCCCGTAAGGAGCCTCGCCGCAGCATTCTGCACCCGCTGGAGTTTCTGGGTCAGCTTCAAGGGCAGCCCTGCGTAGAGCGAGTTACAATAATCAAGCCTGGAGGTGACCGTCGCATGGATCACTGTGGCCAGATCAGGGCGAGAGAGGGAAGGGACCAACTGCTAAATACGGCGGAGATGGAAAAATGCCACCTTTGCTGTGGCTGCAACCTGCGCCTCCATAGAAAGGGAGGTGTTGAAGGTGACACCCAAACTCTTGACAGAAGGCGCTGGCACTAACTGAGCCCCCACAAGAGATGGGAGTTGGCACCCCAACCCCATGTTGTCCTGATCCAGCCAGAGGACCTCTGTCTTCAAAGGATTGAAGCCACAGCTTCCAAGCATCTGGTCAGTGTGTGGGACCGAGTCAGGGTGGCCGTCCATCAACAGATAAAGCTGGGTGTCATCAGCATATTGATGACAACCCAGCCCAAAACTCCGGACAACCTGGGCAAGGGGGCGCATAAAGATATTGAAAAGCATTTATCTATTGCTCTGGAGTTCTCCCAGCGAAAATCTGCCCTTTAAAGCTCAATCTGTGGGAAACCTGAACTGACATTTGCTTGATTGAGTGCTAAAGAGCTGGCTTTTGAGGAGAAAGCTCTGGGGCAAAAAAGGGATTGGACGCAGAGCTTTTAAGCACAGACCAGTGCCTGGAAAGAGTGGGCCAAAAGGCAAGTGTGGATAAGCCCTACGTGAGATGGGTGGCAATGGAAGGAATGAAGACAAACAGAAGGGAAAAGTGGAGCCTGTAGGCAGTAAAGCCTATCAGATATTCCGTGCTGTCGCTCCCCACCTCGGCCTTTTGGGATAATACTTATAGGTAAAGGTAAAGGGACCCCTGACCATTAGGTCCAGTTGTGACCGACTCTGGGGTTGCGGTGCTCATTTCGCTTTATTCGCCGAGGGAGCCGGCGTACAGCTCCCTCGTGGCCAGCATGTGGCCAGCATGACTAAGCCGCTTCTGGCGAACCAGAGCAGCACACGGAAACGCCGTTTACCTTCCCGCCGGAGTGGTACCTATTTATCTACTTACACTCTGATGTGCTTTTGAACTGCTAGGTTGGCAGGAGCTGGGACAGAGCAACGGGAGCTCACCCCGTCATGGGGATTCGAACCTTCTGATTTGCAAGCCCTAGGCTCTGTGGTTTAACCCACAGTGCCACCCGCGTCCCTTTGGATCCTGCTAATACAAGTCCATTCTTAATACCAAAGGTGAGTTTCAAGGAATGCATCCAACAGAAACAATGCATTCTTTGCTTTCACACCTGCAGGGTAGCAATTTTGTCCATGGAGTTGCTCCTGGAAATGGTTAAAAAATACAAAAAGGGGATTCTTTTCTTCATCTGTCACAGCATCCTAATTTAGAAAATGTGGCGATCAGAGTTAGGGGAAGGAAAGATTCAGGAGTGTATTTTAAACCTTCTTGTTTAACACTATGCTGTGTGTCACCCACCCAACTTTCCTTCCAATCGTATTTTGCACCTGTCATTGGCCAGTGGATCTAGTAAAAAGCATCAACAAATGAGATTCTATACGCCTGAAATCTGCCCCCCGATGTTGCAAAACATTAATACAGAAAAGGACAGGAATCAGCAGACTGGGTGGAGTGGGGGAATCCTTGAGGGCACTGGGGCGTCTTCACCCACCTTCATAAATCAGTGTCTAATTTTGGCACATATTTCAAGAGCGGCATTGCTGTGGAAAATAGTAATGATATGACTGAACATACGGGAGTTTAACCTCAGGAAGTGTATCAGGATCTGGATGGATAACCATTTGGAAACAAGACTGCTTTACATCCACAAGCTTGGAACTAGCTACAGCTTGGGAAGCGTCGTATAATCCATCCTGCAGTCCTGCGTGCAAATAAATGAGAGAATAAGCCTTTAAAATGCAAGATATAAGGAAATGGACTAATCCAGTTTAGCCAAACTAGCTAGAGGTGCTGTATTGTGTCCCACAAAATACTTCTTTTCATTTCTTTAGAAATGCTCCTTTTTCACACTCATAAGACAGAACCCAAAATTCATTTTGATGCTTTGTATAGATATTTGGGGGCACCTGTACTGACAAATTTACATCCCTCACTGAATGATTCATTTCGTTTTGTGAGAAGGTACCCTGGGGCGTTTAAACAAACAGCTGAAAGAATCTAACACAATGGTTTAAATAAAACAACTTGTATACACATTTTCATTAGCTGCAATCATCACATTAAATTCCCAAGTGCAAAACCAACCATGTCTGTGTGTGTGTGTGTGAGAAAGAGAGAATCACTTTGCTGCTGGCCACATAAATAAGCAAGCGTTTATGTGAAAGCCTGCAAGAGAACATACACCATTTAATTTCTGCTATATTTGCACCATTCATTCGATAATCTTTAGAGCACAGCGTTTGATCTAGATATTCTTAGGATACTGCAGGCACAACATACCCTGGCAAAAATCTAGTTTGTGACAAAGGACACATTGCTGAAATTCTCAAGTCTGTGCCACTAATTCTTTCCACACTCTGACAATATTGCTTGGAAATCTTTCTTCAGAAGTCAGTCACAGCATTGGCCCATCCTTATTTCCAATACCCAGCAAGAAATAAGCTTTACCTTGTATTTGGAAGACTTGCTCCCAGTTCACGGTTTCTGGGTTCTCCAGCAACGCTTGATATGCTTGCTGGTCCTTGTAGAATACAGCATAGGCATTGGTAAAATGGTCTAGGTCATCACTTTCAGCCTATGATTTTAAAGACACAAAAACCCCTAGTTCATCCCATTATACACACATATACATAATAGTTTTGTTGCTATGATCAAAACTGTGATGTGCCACAGGGCTCAAATCAGGAGGCCTGGTCAAACGGCTGGTCAAGTGAAGAGAACTTAGAATGAAGAAACAATGGCCAAAAGCATTTATTTCTTCTCAATAAATGAGTTTTGTAGCGATTCTTATTAGGCTTCCCATTTCAAATTTCAGGAGTAAGGAAGTGAGCATGTCAAATATTAACAGCAAGTTTCAGCAGTCATTTGTATATAAATCAGGAAAATTTGTATATAAATCAAGAAAACTAAATGAAAAAGCTTGTTTGCTTTAAGGACTCATGTTGAAACTTCTATTGTCAATTAAGTATAGTTCATCATTATCTATGAACCTAAACTGTAGTCAGTCTCAGCTGTGATTTAGGGCAAACAAGCCAGTATAATAAAACATGGTTTGAAGCTAGCCTGACTCCCTAAACCATGCTTAAAACTAACTGGTTTATTCAGCTTCAGTCTTAATAAAAAGCAGAAGTGAAAGCTTCTTCTCCCCTCATGCTCATTGTTATGTACTGAGTTGAATAGGATCCAAATTGCAGCAGTCTGATTGGTCCTAGAACAATAGGATTCAGAATGCTGCAGTCTGATTGGTCCTAGAACAACAGGATCCAGAATGCAGCAGTGTGATTGGTCCACAGGAGCCACCCAATCCAACTCCAGGTGGAAGTGAATCCGCAACCTGATTGGCCTACAGGAGAATCCCGGAATTAGCCAATCACGTGGGGCCCATTGTGTAAATAATGTATATAAAGCAGACATTTCAGGGGAACTTCGATTCCTCACTACTATGAGCGGAATAAAGAGCATGAAATCCACACTCGACTCCGAGTGTATTTCACTCATGCTGCAAGACAAGAGGAGAACTCACAAATCCTTGGCTCTTTTAAGCAATGTTGAACACCCAGCACCTAATGTTGTGTGTATGGGGGAGGGGAGGGAGATGGAGAGAGAGCACACTAGATTATACCCTTTACTATACCGTTCTCTGCCGGCGGGTAATAACAGCTTTAAATTCTGGCCATGAATCCACCACCACTTCCTTCCTGAAGGGGTTTCCTCTGTTTATATTTAGCACTGCTCCATAAACCTTCAAAAGGAAAGATGAGCTGTTTAGAGGTTGGAAAAAATATTGTTATGAGGGTCAGTCTGGATAAAACCCTAGGTCCCTTCCAAAACCTGTGATCCTGTATCAGTGAGGCTAGATTGCATGAGGGAACCTGGAAGATCGGCCAAATTAAGTCATTTGGCTTTCGCTGGCCAGTTAAGTGCTCATAAGCATCCGAAAACATGAGCCAAGAACCGTGCTCTCCACAAGGGGGGGGTAGGCATTTTCCCCCACCTGGCTGGATGCCAGGTGATCCTAGGCAGCAGAACAACAGAGCTGTTGTGTATAAGAGCTGGAAGCTGGAGGAGACAGAGACACGTCTGCCTCTACGCTGGACTTTGGTGCCCATCTGGAAACCTAATAGGGAAGCAAGATCTGTTGGGGTGTTAATGCTGTGAGTGCCCCCATCCTATGCTCAGGTTGGATATATGCAGTGCTTTATTTCAGGGGGGACGCAGACCCCTAAACATTTTGTGAATCTAAGTATGGCCTCAGTGAGGGGCAGCATTTCAATATGAATAGGAAAATGAGAGGACCCCTAAACATTTTTTTTGAAGAAGTAAAAAGCACTGGATATATGCATAATAGGGATGCGGGTGGCGCTGTGGGTTAAACCACAGAGCCTAGGACTTGCCGATCAGAAGGTCGGCAGTTCGAATCCCCGTGATGGGGTGAGCTCCCGTTGCTCCGTCCCTGCTCCTGCCAACCTAGCAGTTTGAAAGCACATCAAAGTGCAAGTAGATAAATAGGTACCGCTCCGGAGGGAAGGTAAACAGTGTTTCCGTGCGCTGCTCTGGTTTGCCAGAAGCGGCTTCGTCATGCTGGCCACATGACCCGGAAGCCGTACGCGGGCTCCCTCGGCCAATAAAGCGAGATGAGCACCGCAACCCCAGAGTCGTCCGCGACTGGACCTAATAGTCAGCAGTCCCTTTACCTTTACCTATATTCATCACTGCCTAAGGAACTAAGAATTAGGCTGCTTTAAAAGGTTGAGTTATTTCCCTCTCTCTTCTGCAAATGTGTTTTCAGAGAACCATTGTAGATGGAAGCAAGATCTTACTGACATTTACGGAGAAAAGAGGACAGAGAGGATGGAGGCCGTTGTTCTTCCCCTACTCCCATGACACTCTGCAAGCCAAAGGCTTGGCTGCAGTAATGAGCTCAAACGGAGGGAAAACACAAGGGAGAGCAAAGCAAGTTTCCAAAAGCAACAAACTGAAAAGAGCCTTTAAAGATGTTTCAAAAGACTGCAAATTCTGACGTTTTCCATAAAAGTTGTGTATGTTTTACCTGAAATGAATCAGGCACAATTCTGTATCAGAAACGATGGTGAGTTTTTGTTTTGTTTTTCTCAGGGAGTAAACATTCGGCTTTCTTGAATGCTTCAGCTTACAGAGTTAAGCATCACCTCACTTGATTTGCTGGCTGCAATTGAGACCTCAGTTGAACGTGGGTACCTGATCTGAAGAGACACCAGCATAATGGAGCCTTGCACTTTTCATTCAGAACTGGCACATACCTGCAAAGCATAATCACTGCTACCCTCTCTGAGCATCTATGTCTATGCATGTGTTGCACATTTATGACGAACTGAATTTATAGGGTAGATATAACATTTCATCTTTATGAATTTTCAACAGGTCTCCATTAATCACTGATGCCAATGTTTGAAGGCAGGAACAAAACCAGCCTGCCATTTTGCATCAGATTATTATTATTAAAACTGTCAACCCCCTGATAAAATTCTAATGTTCATTATCATACTGTAGTGATCATTTTGTAATTGTTTTATGCAAGTTTAAATGTTGTTCTGGGGGTGCTAATATAAATATAAAATGCATTTTTATTTAATAAAAGTATACAGACCATCCATCTATTCAAAAAGACAAAAAACAGCCCCCCACTGAATTTCTGCATGGAACACAAGTTCAAATTCAGGTCTAATAGCAAAAATCTGTACTCCACCATCTCTCTAAAAGATACACCCTGATAGTTCAGACTTTCAAGCCCATAAATAAAGTCTACGTAGATTTGCATTACCTTGAGTGATTCAGGAAAATTACTGAGTAATTTGTGTTCCAGTATTTGCAGCTTTGTAGAACAGTTTAACACCAGCATCTTGCAACCTTCATGCAAACATAGGTGGCCTACTAGAGGGCACAAGCAGAAGAAAAACCGTGACTAGCAGCAAATGTTACTTCAGTGCACTGGAAAAATGGAAGCCCAAAACATAATCCTAGAGATCATACCCTTCTGTATTTGTAGATTACATTTTATACAGTGCCATCGCCCACCCCACCCCCCAGCACCCTATAATCAGCTGGACTTTATTGTGAACTAAAACCCATGATAAGCTTCTTGGAAAAGAAAATTTCACACAGTAACTGCCACAAATTTGATGTTTTTACTGCTCTACCTTTTCCAGTTTGCTGTAAGCAGCTATGAGAGTGACAAGTCCGAAGGGGTAAACATTTTATAAATAAAACTAATAAAAACTTTGACAGCACTGTTGTCCACTCTCATAGTTTTAAACCCAATAAAGGGTAGTATAGAGAGAGCCTGTCTTCACCCTAAACCTGAGAGGGTGGGGAGCTGTGCATGGGCAGCCGCCCTCTCTAAATTCACAAGGCAGAGATTATTTTGTTGGAATGCAGAACTCAAAATTCTTCTACAATGGGGTAAGAAAGAAACACCATCTTATAGAAATACATAGCCTGTTACGGATAGCGTATAGATAAAAACGGCATTCTAAATTGGATTAAAGTTTCATGACACCGTGTCTGCATTTTGTGTCAAAATGGGCTGCGGACACAGACACGTGCCACTCTCTGAACAAAATATACAAATATACAAATATCCCACACAACCCTCATATATCTAGGTCGCATACCTGGGGCTGATTTTCAACTGGCTGTTCAGATATAGGAAACAGCTGGAACGCTAAGAGGCACTTTCGGTTACATAGATTTTCTGGGAGCAGGTGGAAGATGAAGAGGAAATAGCCACACCCTCAGAAGGAGGGACTTACAATACAAGCTTTAAAAGACAATAGTAAAGGTCAAAAAACTCAAAAGCCCTGCAAACTTGCCTCATTGCCCACAAGACATTTGATATTGCAGCCCTGTTTCTTGTAAGATATCCCATTTCCACATACTTTAAAACAAATTACAATGATTATTAAGGAATTATTAAGCAATTACAACGGTGTAACCAGACTTCAAAGAACTAGTCATAGTTCTACACAGTCTTGTGGGAAATGGTCTAAACTGTGCAAATATTGTGGGAAGCAGAAGACCTCTGTGCCTTTGAAAACTCTCAATTTCCTCCATGTTCAAAACCCCGTTTGTTCGGTTAGGCTTTTCCTAATGCTGCTCTAAGCTTCTTCCCACAATCCTTTGGGCCGGACTGAATCTACTGAACAGAAACTGATTAGAATGTTATCTAATGCAGGAAAAAGCTCTGCATCTCTTGAGAAGGCATCTGTAAGAAGAGGTCCTAAAAGTCTTATATCTGGAACAGACACGTGGAATAATCCTGTGTCCATCTTCAATTACTTTCAAGGCTATAGACTTCTAACTTCTAGGCTATTTATTTTTACCTTGTGAAAATTCCTAAACTGAAATTAAAGTTTGGAAGCAGGCCAGTTGCATACCCCTTCCAAAGAAGGCAGCAACTTCAGGAATTAGATATAATTTCATTTTCATTGTTCCATTTACCTATGTATCTACTTCTTTACCATAGATCTTATTGCATAGATAAGATGATTAAATATTAGGTGTGGGAAACATGGCTGATTTACAACCCGCTTAAAACTTATATAAATATGAATACTTCTTTTGAAACAAAGCAATTCTAACTTCTAGCTAAAATCTGTCTTCCATATAGCCTAGGTGCTGAAGTCTCATCCTTGGCAACCATACATGCACTTTTAGTTCCCTGTGGACCACAGGCTAGAGCACATTTGTCATTAAACAAAACTGAGATCAGTAGCATGTAAACAAACTGATTCGACAGTTCTCTTGGCTGTACAGTGTTCTAGCAACATCTTTATGGGTGTAGCGGAAAGCTGTTTCTTTTATTCAGACTTATTTCAGAAGATGCAGAGAGAAAAATATGCAAGCCAGAGATGTGATATACCTGTTTTGCTTGTTTTCCAAAACTGAATGGCACTTAACAATTAAACCTAAGAAAACAGAACTATAAGAAAGGAGAGTTACACCTTAATCTTGTGGTTTCTAAACCTAAGAAATGCCAGGTGTGACTTTCCTTATTGAAAAGGAACCAAACCCTGCTTTGAAAATAAAATGTAATCCTTTAATTTCAGTTTTCTCTCTTTTTGGCATTAGTTCCAATATCCATGAGATCAAATTTAACTTGAAGAGGCGACTGCAAGTAGGTAAAATTATATTTGGTTAGATTGCAAGCAGGACTTTATTTTCCTCTTTTAAAATGCAGATAGAAGCCTAAATCATTCACAACCTTTCCCATTTGATATAAATGAAAACCTATTATTGTACCTTACGATTTTCATGAGAAACTCAGTAGATTTCTAGGGCACTGAGGCAGGAAGCACTGAATAAAACCCTGACAACTTACATTGGGGAGCTAAGCAGGGAGTTGCTCTGCTAGATTGGAAAGGTCAAATTTGCTTATCCACCCTTCTTCTGCATGCTTACTTCAAAAGAAGAGGCACTTGGCAGCTGCTCCTTCTGCTTAGAATCAACGGAATACAGTGTTACCTCGGGTTACAGACGCTTCAGGTTACAGACTCCGCTAATCCAGAAATAGTACCTCGGGTAAAGAACTTTGCTTCAGGATGAGAACAGAAATTGTGCAGCGGCAGCAGGAGGCTCCATTAAGGTAAAGTGGTGCTTCAGGTTAAGAACAGTTTCAGGTTAACAACAGACCTCTGGAACAAATTAAGTACTTAACCCGAGGTAGCACTGTATGACAATGACTTGGGATGATGAGAGCCAAGTTCAATCTCCAGGATACTTACTGCAAGCTTCTCAGCTTCTGAATGTAGCACACATAGGAAGGAGAGGCTAGGTTGGCTCATCCCATCAGGAAAGCCCCCCCTCAATAGGCCCTACCCCTTAATGTTGGTTGATGGAAAAGGAAGTGTCTATGGGTTAAAATGTCCAGCATGGCATGCTTAAGATCATCCCCTCTTGCAATTAATCTTTTGGAACTGCTGCTCCCCCAGCCTGGGCTGCACCTGGATGATTTGAAAGAACCATAAACAATGACTAAGCCTAACTTGTTCACACTTAAATCAGCTTGTTGATGAGATTAGTAAACCAAACTGCTGACTGGTTTTACCTGCAGCAGCACTGACTTGAGTAGCCAAAACCAACCCTATTTGTAGCAAGGATGGCTACACATGGTTACACAAAAATATATGTCTGCAGCATGTCACAAAAGTGAGGCAGATGCTACTTTATTCATATTAGACCCAGCAATCAATACAATACATTTCATTATCTGGAAAAATATTTACATTTCATTATCTGGAAAAATAAATAGAAATTTATAAAAGCAAAAGTCTCATAGAGCTCTTTTGTGTGAAGCCAGTCTCTCAAGTTCTTTGTATCACTAGAACTGTAGAATATTGCACTCATTTATCAGGATTACTGCAATAAAAGGGAAATTTCTCATGATACAGGCAAATAAGCTACAAAGATATATACATATTGTCAGATAGGGTGGTTAACTTTAAGATATCTCAATTAATTTGTTTTAAAAGTCTGCACAAAACACAATGCAGATTGTAACAATCCATCACTTTCCTGAAGACAGAGTACCATCATAACCATCATGTTTTGAGAACAAAACGTTCATGGAAGATAAAAGCACCAAGAAATAGGGCTAATCCTTGTTCTTCAATAAGTAATGTCCTTCAACTGACTTTCTTCAGACATCCACATAGTCATATGCCTGTTCTAGGAAAGCAAACAGTGTCTTCATTTCTTCTGATTCTTGTATGGTGTTTATGTCATTAAGAAGACCTTCTTGGTTCCTGACCTTCAGAAGCTCATCCTACAGAATGTGAAAAGGGAGAAAGTTTAAGATGGTATGAGGAAAATAAAGGATTTTCAGGTAGGAAATCAGTGCAATTTCCAGCAAAGCTTCAGGATGCAAAGAGGGCAGACAAAATTAAGGAGCAGCAAGGATACACAAGAAAGAATGGTTTCTGGACAGCCTTCTCCACCCTGGAACTTTTCTAATGTTGCTGGATTACAGCTCCCACACCGCTGACTGCTTGCCACACCGGCTAGGATTGGTGGGAGCTGTCCATCATCATCTAGAGGGCACCAGGCTGAGGGAGGCTGGGTTTAGGAAATACCATTTAATCACTGTGTGAACAAGAAGAAAGGTGCTGGTTCTGGAACAAAATAGAAAAGATACTTTTGCAAGAAGCGATTTTTAAGAGCAGCTTCCTCTTCACTCTCGGGAGGCTTCTGAAACAGCCCTCCCGCCACTCACCTGAAGAATGGGTGCTGTGAGTCGGTACTGTGCAACATCAGGAAGACCAAGATCACCACTGCCATTTGTCTGGATTAACTAGAGAGGGAAGAGAGCAAATATCTGCATCTGTATTGGGTTTTTAAAAATGTTTCATCTTTTGCTGCCCTGGGCTCCTTTGAGAGGAACGGCATGTATGCATGCATATATCAAACATCTACCTCATTCCCCCCCCTGTGTACTTGTACTAAATCATATCTAATATGTTATTTATAATATACTTATATACTGCTATATTCCAATATATTTAGCTATACCTCCTTTTCAAACTGCTATGTCAACGATACGCCTTCAGCAATCCTGAATTCATTCTTCCATGGACTCAAGAGTCTGGGCAGATGAGGCTCTTCAACCTGGGGAGTAGTTCATCTAGAAGGACAACTCTGATTCTAAACCTCCACTGCCTTGCATAATACCTTTGGGAAAGAATGGGTAAACCCTACACAAATCCGGACCTAAGACAGTTGGATGGCGCCTTATATGCCTCCTTCTGGCAACTCCTGCAGCCAAGCTGGCGCCAAACATATTGCTCTGCTTTCGTTTGGACCACACCAGCGAGGCCGAGAGGCAGGTCTTGTCGTCAGGACAGCACAGGACCTGCACACACACTGCCCAGGCTTGTGCCCCGGAGAGGTAAATTCAGTGCTGTGAAGACAGCAGTTTGACTTCATCCCCAGAGACACACTCCATTGTCCTTTGAGACAAGCCCAGTTCATCGTGCCCAGACTCAAAATTCCATCCCCATCTCAGAGATACCTCATTTGCTGTTGCTTTCTCTGTAGCCAGCTGACATTTTAATTTGTGTATTTTGTTCTGGAGATGTTGAATATTTCCTTCATGGAGATCTGCTGTGGACGAAACTTTGTTTATTTCTTCCTGCATTTCAAAGGAAAATGAAACTGAAGAAATATATTTAAAGCAAGGAACCATCTGTGTAGCAAACATTCTGCCAGGATTAGATTAGCTCCCACTGCTACATATCAGAGGCTGAAGCAGCTCAAGTATTCGCCATCTTTCATGATTTATTCTACAGAATAGATTGCAAAAGATCTCTTTTCTACTTGAACAGAAGGAACACTTGTTTGATAATACATAATAGTTTGTAATATGTAACCTGGGAAGCAAGGGCTAATTTGATGATTCACAAATATTAATTCTTATCAATAATTTGTGGTGCCATGGTTGTTATGACATTTAAAAGAGTCCATTACTCCAATTTCCACCTCTCTTACTTTGAAGAATGCCATAAAAACTGGCAGCATGAAGCAGATTTTGTATGGTAACCAATAAAGATGGTCTAGGCATAATGATTTTGGAAAATACAATAGCTCCATCTGTACCAAAAAGCTTTACATTTCCCCTCAGAGAGGGGTGCAGAAGTGTAGCATTACGGCATGAAGGGGTGAAATAATTTGAAATATCTTGCAATAATAACACAAAACCTTTATGAATACCAATTGAAGCACTATAGAGTAGTGAGGAAGTTTTCAGGTTTCAAATCACCTAAAGCTCATAATCTTCTTAATTCACAGAATGGATTAGTCCTTTGCTGTGTACTCAGATGATATGCCATGTAAATCCCCAAGATGTACCCTCTCTTCCTTCCTCACCTGCAGTTTTGCCAAACCCTCTTCAAGAGAAACACTCTTTTCCTTTTCCTCTGCTAGCATCTTATGCACATTCTTCAGGCTGCTCACCTTCTCCACGGGAACCTTTAGGGTCTCAAAATGTTTGACGAGCCTTGAGCAAAACGATAAACAAGATTCTCACCTTGTGTAATATTTATACTTATGGAAAGGGCAATACTATATTACTGTATTACTAGAGTTCTCACAAGCCTTGCTTACTTGAAGTACTGAACAGAACATAAATATTTTCTGCTTTGGACTGAGGGAGAAGAGAATGTTCAATATAATCCAAATGGTCAACCCATATGGCTAACTTCTGTTTTCACATGGACCACTTTATTCTCCAAATAACAGGCTAAAAGGTCTAAATGTATTTTATCACATAGACTGACCCCCCTCATGAGCAATCTGGCACCAGGCTTTCAAAATTAAGGAACACTGGAGCATAATTATCTCAGGGAAAGGTTTACCATTAAGTTTCACTCTCACAAAACGTATTTTATTATGAGTGAAACTATGTCTATTTCACCAGCTCCTTTCACAGAGGTATACAGTGGTACCTCAGGTTACATACGCTTCAGGTTACATACACTTCAGGTTACAGACTCCGCTAACCCAGAAATATTACCTCGGGTTAAGAACTTTGCTTCAGGATAAGAACAGAAATTGTGCAGTGGCGGCGCGGCGGCAGCAGGAGGCCCCATTAGCTAAAGTGGTGCTTCAGGTTAAGAACAGTTTCAGGTTAAGTACGGACCTCCGGAACGAACTAAGTACTTAACCCGAGGTACCACTTTAATAGGCTTCCAAGGGGAGAAGTAAAGCAATATAATGTGGGACCTAATCCACTGGGACACCAACTGAGACATCCTAGCATTAGGAAAGTGTGGGAACCTCCGGCTCATGTGCATGACTAGGCCTGCAAGGTCTCAGAGGTTGCCCCATCAACCTATTTTTGACCAGCCATGTCCACCTTTCCCAAGCCTAACATAATGTATGACATTAGTTACAGCAAAGTTCAAGATGCAGCTGCGGCAAAGGAAGAACAGAGTACCAGAACGTGATCCTCATTCTTCCTTTGCAGCTGTACCCAATCACCTGATGTCATATAAGATCCAATGATTGACAAATCCATGGCACCCCCACCTGTCAAAATCACCCATGGGGAGGGGGGCCTGGACACATCTGGATCTGGCACATCCCTGCATTGGATATTTTATTTTATAGCGTTTATAACTCACTGTTCCTTGAAGGAGCTCAAGGTGGCATACATGGTTCTCCCTCTCCCCATTTTATCTTAACAACCCTTTCAGGTAGGTTAGGCTGAGACACAGTAACTGGCCCAAGGTCACCCAGAGAACTTCATGGCTAAGTGGGGTTAGGTGTTAGTCCAACACTCTAACCACACCATACCTGCTCTTATACCTTTAAGGCTGAAGCCCTAAAGATTAATGGATGTATACCAGGGATTAAAAATAACTGAATAGCATTTATGTATGTAAACATGCTCAGCGTCACGTTGCACAAACACCTGCAGTCCTTTCCCCCACTTGCTATGGTATATTCCTTACCTTTTCCTGAGGCAATTTAAGTGCTTTTCAGCTTCATTGTTATTCTGTGTAGTTTCATACTGAAGAGATCTGGAAGGAAAGAGAGTAACATATTGATATTTTATTTCTTCCTTGTGGAAAAATGTTTGCTGAATTTGCTGCTGCTCTCAGATAAGAACTAGGTTGATTTGTTTTGTTTCCTGATAGCTATCACTTTCTGTGTATGATAAGGGTTAAGAGCTACCTTTCAGAGAGGACTCTACATTTTCTTTCTTTCTTAGTTTCTTTTATCTTATTGTATTAAGAAAACGGTTGATTAAAAATTTATAAAGAAAAGAAAAATAAAAAAGGAACAGGTGGGTCCAGCACTGTTCTCTTCTGGGCCCGTCATTATTCAACATCTTATAAATGACTTTGATGAAGGAATTGAGAGGATAAGCATCCAATTTGCAGATGACACCAAATTGGGAGGGGTAGCTAACACTGCAGGGGACAGGATCAGGATTCAAGATGACCTTAATAGATTGGAGAACTGGGCCCAAACCAACAGAATGAATTTCAATAGGGAAAAATACCACATTCTGCATTTAGGCAGGAAGAACCAGATGCGCAATTATAAGAGCCATGCCTTGCCAGCAGTACTTGTGAAAAGGATCTAGAGGTCTTAATAGACAACAAGCTTTACAGAGTCAATAGTGTGATGCAGAAGCAAAAATAGTGAATACTATTCTGGGCTGCATCAACAGAAGTATAGTGTTCTGATCAAGGGATGTTATAGTACTGCTCTATTCTGCCTTTGTCAGATCTCACCTGGAGTACTGTGCCCAGTTCTAGGCACAATTTAAGAAGGATGTTGACAAGCTGGAATGTGTGCAGAGGAGGGTGACCAAGATAATCAAGGTTCTGTAAACCAAGTCTTGTGAGGAACAGTTTAGGGAGCTGGGGATGTTTAGCCTAGAAAAGAGGAGACTGGAAGGAGATGTGATAACCATCTTCAAACAACCAAAGGGCTATCACATGGAAGATGGAGAAAGCTTGTTTTCCCCTGCTCCAGAAGCCAGGATCCAAACCAATGACAATAAGGGAGATTCCAACTAAACATCAGGAAGAACTTTCTGACTGTAAGGCCTGTTCAATGGACACCCTTGGAAGGTGCTGGACTCTCTTTCCTTGAAGGATTTTAAGCAGAGGTTGGATGGCCATCGATCATGGATGCTTTAGTTAAGATTCATATATTACAAGGGGTGGACCAAGACACTCAGAACTGCTTCCATCTCTACAATTCTATGATTGTTAAACGAGGGTACAGACTGTGTACCTGTATGCACAGCAGCTGAGCTGTTCACTCACACCATACATACACTATACAGATTTGCTGCCAGCAAATGTTAATTGCTTCAATGCCACTTTTATTAAAAGCCATTCCCTTTTGCTGGCAGGAAGCCAAGTTCTCTTGGCGAAAACCAAATATATTTCCTTCTCTTGAGTTCATAGTTAAGTCATGTGTTCCTTTAAACCACAAAGGGGCACTGCTTATATAATAATCCAGCCACCATGTGTAGCTCTCTAATTTAACTCCACTGCTAAAAGCTGAACCATTTTGTTTCCTGTTTTCTGTCTCTCATCTCCACGCACACTGTAAATGGTTGATGCATCAATAAAGCATTTTAAGTCCAGAAACTGTAAGTGATTCTTCCAATTTAATTCACTCAAGATATAAGGTCTGCTAACAAGAGTAAAGGTAAAGGGACCCCTGACCATTAGGTCCAGTCGTGGCCGACTCTGGGGTTGCGGTGCTCATCTCGCTTTATTGGCCGAGGGAGCCGGCGTACAGCTTCCGGGTCATGTGGCCGGCATGACTAAGCCACTTCTGGCGAACCAGAGCAGCGCATGGAAACCCGTTTACCTTCCCACTGGAGCGGTACCTATTTATCTACTTGCACTTTGACATGCTTTCGAACTGCTAGGTTGGCAGGAGCAGGGACCGAGCAACGGGAGCTCACCCAGTCGCGGGGATTCGAACTGCCAACCTTCTGATCGGCAGGCCCTAGGCTCTGTGGTTTAACCCACAGTGCCACCCGCGTCCCGCTGCTAACAAGAGTGGAAGAAGGCTAACTGAATATAATGGGATGTTAGTTAAGATCCCCACATTGCAGGGAGATGGCCCTCGGGGTCCCTTCCACCTCTACAATTCTATTAGTCTAAGAACTATAGCTATTTACTGATAACACAAATAAATGTATCAACACAGCTGAAGCCTCTCAAAGGAAGTTAATATAGTACTGATGGAAAGGTCTTTCATACTTACGTTATTAACCAATGCATCATGGATTCCAACTGCTCTCTTGTGTTCTTTGAAAGTGGCTGCCATTTTGCTCTTTGGCCTGCAGTCACCTTCACTACTTTTGAAGACAGAGAAGTTGTTTCGGCTGGCAAAGAACAAGCGAGTTTGTCAGTATCACCACTGTGATAGCTAGATGTGCCTAGAATGCTGTGCCAACAACTTCGTAACCAACTTGCAGGGCAACAGAGTCACTGCCTTTGCAAATCAGCCACAATTAATACTGCCTATGTGTCCCACCCTCCCCTTTGCATAGTAAATAAGGAACCAGGAATGGCCCAGTGCCTTCTAAGCAATGGGGATCCTTTCAAGATTCCTCCATACCTAACAACTCTGGCCTGGTTGTGCTAGAGCAGTGGTTTTCAACCTTTTTGAGTCCATGTCTCCCTTAACAAACCACATTCTTTCTGCAGCTCCCTTGTGGGAGCCACTTACATACACTAAGATTCTGTTACAGTACATGTGTAAATGAGTATTTCCCCATTCTGCCCCGCCCCTTTACTGGCCCATTTTTTGTGCATCTTTAAGTGGGAGCACATGTGCCAAGGGGAATCCAAGCAATGTCACTGCTCTGCAGGGCTGAGCTAACACACTCCACATGGCAGTCCCAGCCTGCCTTTCCTGAAATTAGTGTGCCGTACAGGGGTGGAGAGAACAAAACAAGATCACAAACAGAAATACAGTGGTACCTCAGGTTAAGAACTTAATTCATTCTGGAGGTCCGTTCTTAACATGAAACTGTTCTTAACCTGAGGTACCACTTTAGCTAATGGGGCCTCCGCTGCCACCGTCGCACAATTTCTGTTCTCATCCTGAAGCAAAGTTCTTAACCCGAAGTACTATTTCTGGGTTAGCGGAGTCTGTAACCTGAAGCATCTGTAACCTGAAGTGTCTGTAACGCGAGGTACCACTGTACTTTGTTATTATGGGGAAGGAAAGCAAGAAACACCCGGCACAGGATGGACTTTTCCTGACTATCCCTGTCCCTATAAAGCTGGGTGACTGTTAAGGGGGGGGGTTGCCTAGGATGAGAGGTAAAGATGAAGAGGGGGAAAGGGATGCTGGGAGTAGGAGAGGACGCACCCTACTTTCAGGGTTCTTTTTAAATGCCTCCTTGTAGAACACAAAGCAGCTTGCTCCTCCCGCCTGGTACTTCTTTGCTGAGGGGCAGGCAGCCACACACCAATCAATGAAGAAGGAGACCCCACCGGCTCGTACAAGTCGGAAAGGCTATTTGAGTTTTGACCCACAAAGCTGGTCGGGTTTAGGGTGCAAAAAAGTCCAAGAGAGAGAATGAGAGCAAGAGAGAGAGAGAAATAGGCCACCACCATAAAAAAGGATGGGGTGGGGGAAGTTTAGATTTGAAAGAAAAGGGGAAGGATCTTACAGAAGTTGGGAAGAGAAAGGGGGTTGTTACATTTTGACATAAAGGAAGAAGGAAGGAGAGCAGAATGGAGCCTGCAGAGAGACAGGATCCAAACACAGAACACTGCCCCTTTTTAGAAGGGGTCTGGATAGGCAGAAGGGAAGGCATGAGGGAAATATCCAGACAGTAAAAAGGAGAATAATCTGGGCCAGGTTAGGGCAGGGAGGAAGAGGTCAGTGGAATGCTGGGATTCCTCCCCATGGACCAAACAGGCAGCAGCCTCTTAGAAGTGTCAGCAATTTAAATTACCCACAATGCATCCACACTAAACACCAACAGAGTGTGGACACATTGTGACAGTGGCTTAATTTTTCATACACTTTTCATATAGTAAATCCCTACACTTTATGGGCTACGGCTTGCCCTGCCTACAAATTCACAATTGTAACAGAGCTTTGAGATCTATCTCTGTGCTAATATTAAGATTATTACTAATACCAATACTAATACCTTCAGAAGACTGTGCTCTCTGCTGCCTTTGTTTCTTCTGGACTGCTTGCACACCTTGCTATAGAGAAACATACAGGAAAACAGAGTCAATTAAATGCTTGAATTGCCATGTGTTTTTACAAATGTAGTATACAAATGCCTGATTCACAACCCACTGAAGCCCACACTGGCTTCTTTATGGGCACCATATCAAGTTTAAACATATACTTAATGAGCAAGATTCTTCAGTGCACTCCCATGACCACTTATCTGACAGTAAGCCTCATCAAATGCAGTGGAGTATGCAGTCACAGAATCTGCACTATACATTGCTTTCTCTCTGTTCTTCCAGTCAGTCCCTTTGTTTTTTGGTTTTTTAAAATATTTTTTATTAAAGATTTTCTCAGTTTACAAAAGAAAATGCATTGCCTCTTTTTTCAGGTTGTAAGGTCTTTTCTACAGAAGTTATGTTTGTAGTGAGACATCAGTGTCGAGTACAGTATAAGGTCGGGGAAGAAAAAGAAAAAAGGGGGGAGAGGAGGGGGTGAAACTTACTTTCTTTTTTATAGAGTACATGTGGGGTTTTGTGTCAGCATCAACCGGATACAGTGTTCGAAACTCCTATTGTTATAGGCACATTTTGCGACAGGGAATATCATTAGTGCAAGCAGTTTCTGAGCTCTGGGCGCAGTACCGCACTTAAGATTTCAGATTAAAACTGCAGAGTGGAAGGAAAGGAGGACCTTTTTCTGCCTCCCCACTTCCAGCTACTCTCTGAAGACTGGAGAAGAGACTCTCTTAATAATATATGGGCGGTAGGCAGGGGAAGGACTAGACCATGTGAAAAATGAACATAATATTTTAGCTGCAGTTAATTCATTTTCAGCTTTGTATTCTTGTTATAAAAATGTGTCCCTAGACATTCCGTTGTTGTGCCCATAACCTAGGTTTAAGGTGCCATTTAGCTCCTATTGTTCATATCTCAGTTTCTAACACTGACTGGATAGGTTCTCTTTCTATTTACTTGTTACAATTTCCTTGGTAGTGAGAGGGATTAAGGGGGCCCAAGGTGTGGTTGGTTGGTTGTGGTTGGCTGCAGTGGGGCTTGTTTGCATTTATGAGGGGTGGGTGTGGCTTGTTGGGTCAACTATGCCAGATTGATTCGTATGGCGGTGGGTTCTTGTTGTCTTGTTGGGCTGTGTATGTGATTAAAGGGGACCTATACTGGAGTGAAGGTGTCCTCTTCTATTTGTCCTCTTGTTAGTTTCAGTCTGTTGCTTCTGAATTTAAAAACACTTTGTACCTCAAGTTGTATGAAGACAATATGGGCAGAACGCTCCATCACAGCAAAAAGAAACCTGCAGTGTTGTCATCATACAAATTGGCAGTCAAGAATGAAACCTGCATAAGACGCCTACAACCATGCCAGGACATAAACCAAATATCACTGGCCCATGCCCAATGAAGAAAGATTTTAGTGAATAGCGGGGGGGGGGGGGGGTGGTTCTGTGCAGCAGAAAGCAGAACCTCCTTCTCCATAGTTCCAGCCTAAAACTAAGTCTAGGCTCAAGATCTTAACATTTGTGCGTCAGAAAATACAGTGCAACTTATGAGTAACCATCCAACTTATGCTGAATGACTGAAGCGATCCTGCCCGCAAACATTTATGTACTTCTGGTGCTTTATTTAACAGCTGTACGGCTTGCCCAGTTGCACATCTCTGGAACAACTCCACCACCTAGTGGCCAGTTGAGTCTACCATCACTGTAATTTGGGCTTTCCTATGGCGATACTACTTAGCACTCTTACAGCTATTTCGAATGTACAAAGCACATTGCATACATGACATTATCACAGCCCCTACAATCACCTTCTAAGGCAGGTCAGTTATACTGCAGATGGCTGGGAGGGGGTTAAGCCTTGCATTCTTGAGTTTATGGCAGAGGTACAGCAATACATTCACAGCTTGTTATGCAGCTTCAGGATACTAAGAATGCAATCCTACACACACACACACACGAAACAAAACTGTGTGCACATAACACACATCCTACACAAGGGTTTGGTTCCAGAGGTCCACACATAAACATGAAATCATGTAAAGCCAGTAACCCCTGCAACTCCCTCCCCTGCAAGGTGGGGAAAGCTGCTTACCAGGCGCTGGGAAGGTTGTGGGGACATAGCTGTCAACTTTTCCCTTTTCTTGCGAGGAATCCTATTCGGAATACAGTGGTGCCTCGCAAGACGAAAAGAATTCGTTCCGCGAGTCTTTTCGTCTTGCAATGTTTTTCGTCTTGCGAAGCACGGTCCGTCGCAACTGCGCCTCTTCAAGCGGCTTTAAAAAAAAAAGTGCAAGACGTTTTCGTCTTGCAAAGCAAGCCCATAGGGAAATTCGTCTAGTGAAGCAACGCAAAAACGGAAAACCCTTTCGTCTAGCGAGTTTTTCGTCTTGCGAGGCATTCGTCTTGCGGGGCACCACTGTAAGGGGATTTCCCTTTAAAAAAGGGAAACGTTGACAGCTATGTGTGTTCCAGAGGTCCACACGTAAACATGAAATCATGTACTGTAAAGCCAGTAACTCCTGCAACTCCCTCCCCTGCAAGGTGGGGAAGGCTGCTTACCAGGCGCTGGGAAGGTGGTGGGGTGCTAGGATGCTGCCAGAGGAAAACCCACCAGGTGCACAGGTGTGCGCATGTGGGAATAAATAAAAGGGGAGTGGGGAACAGTGGGTTCCCTCCGCTTTCCATTTACTTCCAACCCACCCACCCCAATCCGTGCAAGGCTGCGATGGCACGGGAAAGCAGCCTTCACGTGAGAGTTACCTGCGCAGAACCATTCTGCACCTGGTTACCTGCACCTGATCTATCCGGGTGAACTCCAACACAGCGGCAAGGGCTGAAAGGGGGTGGTGGTGCGAATACCCCGCCTCCCAAGCGGTGGCCTTCGCTTAAACAGCACTCTATCCGGAGCTTCGACGCTGAGCAGCATTTCTAGCACAACTCTCCCTCAAGCATGAAATCCTCTTTATCAGTCGTGGTTTGCCATGAAAGAGATGACAATCTCCTCCTCATCAATGGAGAGATGAACATCCACGGAGGTAAAAGTAAAGGTAAAGGGACCCCTGACCATTAGGTCCAGTCACGACCGACTCTGGGGTTGCGGGGCTCATCTTGCTTTATTGGCCGAGGGAGCCGGCGTACAGCTTCCGGGTCATGTGGCCAGCATGACTTAAGCCACTTCTGGCGAACCAGAGCAGCAAACAGAAACGCCGTTTACCTTCCCGCCGGAGTGGTACCTATTTATCTACTTGCACTTTGATGTGCTTTCGAACTGCTAGGTTGGCAGGAGCAGGGACTGAGCAACGGGGGGATTCGAACCGCCAACCTTCTGATCAGCAAGTCCTAGGCTCTGTGGTTTAACCCACAGCGCCACCCGCGTCCCCGGAGAGGGGACCTCAAATAGCAAGAGGGCTGACGCTCCAACCACTGCACCGCACCGCCGCCCGCTTACTTTCCCCTCAGGCGTCCTCTTCGGCCGCCTCCCGCCGGCTCCCCCTCTGGCGCCGGAGGGTCCTGGCCGGCCGCTGGGCCCCGGCGCTGCCCTCGCCGCTCTCTTCCCCGGGCGGCGTTTCATCGCTCCTGAAACTGAGGGAAAACAGGCGGCCGCTCCCGCTCAAGACCGTTAGGCGGCTTCACTCGCTCCGCCCACTCTCGCGAGACGACGTTCCGGGAGCCGTTAGGAAGGGGGCGGGGCCACACAAACGAGCAGACAGACGCGGAAGCCTCAGGCGCCCGGAAGTGGCTGGCTGGGGGGGGGGAGGGAGTGCCTGGCCGCAGCGGCGCCTGCGCGTTGCAGTCGGACGCTGCCTCCGCTTCCGTCCCTGGCTCCGCAAGCGGCCGTAGCAGGTACCGTAATGGGCGGACGAGAAGCGCAGGAGGTTTTGTCTTTCCTTCCTCTCGGCCTCCTCTTCAGCGTCTCCCGCGCAGCTCCCGCTTGAGCCTCGTCCCTCAGTCACGGAGAGCCCTCGGGCGTCTGATTCCACAGGTGCCCCCCCACGCCTCTTTAACCCTTGAGGAGAAAAGCGAGCGGGGATAATCAGGGTTTCCCAAACGCTGGGTGTCCAGCTGCTGGTGGACTACAGTTCCCATCTCCCCCGGTCGCTGGTCTTGCTAGCGAGGGATGATGGGAGTTGTAGTCCCTCCAAGAAAACAGCTGCGGACCCAAGGTTGGGACTCCCTGGGTTAAATCGTTCAAGCGCGCATGCGCAGACGGGAGGGTTGGGGTCTCTTCTTACCTGACAGGAGGCCCGTTTTGAAATACTTATTTTACGTCGTCCTCTTTTCCTGAAACAACGGAGGCTTCGGCGAGGCGAGAGAACGGTATTCGCGTGGCAGCCCCGGCCCTGCCTGGGAGCCAGAGCATAGCTGTCAACTTTTCCCTTTTCTGGCGAGGGATCCTATTCGGAATAAGGGAATTTCCCTTTAAAAAGGGGAGACGTTGACAGCTATGAGCCAGAGGGAGGAGGAGGAGGAGGGTGCCTCTGTCCATGCGCAGAGTGCATAAGGGCAGTGATGCTAAATAGGCACGCTTGCGTGTTCCCTTCCGCGCAAAATGGGGAGTCAGGCCCGGGTGAAAGCAACCGGAGGCCCTGGGCCGGGAGCCCAAACTGAAGGGCATCTCAAAACAAAAGCTCGCTCTCTTCTTTATCGAGCTCGATGAAAGTCGAATATCTCTGAAATGTTAGTATTGATTAAAAAAATATTGCTTATAAATTCATGACCTTTTAACAAGTTTGCAAAAATACGGCATTTACAAAGACATTCACTCCTAACATTCAAAGGGAAATTGTAGCTATGTGGTAACATTACACAAAATCAGGCCAGTCACAGGCACCTACGTCATGTGTTTGATGTTACAGAACAGCTGTGCCTAAATAGTAAAATATGCCTGACTGTTTTTTTTAAAATGGCAAGAGGCCCAATTCCCCGCTAGATTATGAGGCACTAGGCTAGGGCTACAGCCCACTACTCAGCCCATTGTACATCTGGCACTGCTCAGAGTTTAAAACTAGCCACTCGGGTGCTTTCTTCCCCAGCAGCTGTGTTCCTGCAGTGGTGATCTAGATCGCCTTCCGTCCCCCTTGAACAAAATGAGTCCATGTACTGCTCTCCCCATCCCTCCCATATTCCTATTCTGATAGGCTGAAGGGAAAGGTGCTGCCTAGTTGCTTCCCCACTAACCTACTACAGTGGTACCTCGGGTTACGAACTTAATTCGTTCTGGAGGTCCGTTCTTAACCTGAAACTGTTCTTAACCTGAAACTAATGGGGCCTCCCACTGCTGCCGCGCCACCGGAGCACGATTTCTGTTCTCATCCTGAAGCAAAGTTCTTAACCCGAGGTACTATTTCTGGGTTACAGAGTCTGTAACCTGAAGCGTCTGTAACCTGAAGTGTATGTAGCCTGAGGTACCACTGTAGTTGATCACTTGCTACAATAATGTCAGCACACAAACTGAACACGCCACATTGTTCAGCTGGTGGCAGGAAGCAGGCTGTTGTGTGCGCTCTCTTTTTTTCAAAAAAAGGAAAACTTCAGTGCATAAGAAAACTCCCTGATTAAATTGCCTAAAAGCCTTCGTTGTGCAACAAGGCTAAGGGTGGCTGCAACAAAAGAAACTTCAAAAAAAAAAATCTGCAAACTTTATCTGTTCCTCCTTTCTAGCACACACAGTTTTTGATGCGACTGGTACTCACAGTCTCACTATGTCATATTGTAATATTCAGATCTCAATCCACAGGCTGCAGCTTAACAGCTGCCACTTCAGCAAGAAATAATAATGTTACGTGCCAAGAATGGACTTCTGCGCCTCTGGCCCTCCTGTTACAGGAAAGAAGCAGGGCCACACCTCCGTGAGCAGTTTTGGCGTTCGCTCCATGAACAGGTACTCCACCCAGAGTGGGTGGCCATGGCCAAAAAGCAGTTAAAGGGCAAGAATCCAGAGGAGCTGATATGGCACACCCCAGAAGGAATCGCCATCAAACCGTTGTACTCTACTCGGGACACAAAGGACTTTCCTGAGGAACTACCTGGCGTCAAACCCTTCACCCGTGGTCCTTACCCTACCATGTATACCTATAGGCCTTGGACCATCCGCCAGTATGCTGGTTTCAGTACTGTTGAAGAAAGCAATAAATTCTACAAGGACAACATCAGGGGTGAGACACAGGGCTAAGGGAATGGGGTGGGGGGAAATATTGTCTAGGGCAGGCTTCCTCAACCCCGGTCCTCCAGATGTTTTGAGACTACAATTCCCATCATCCCTGACCACTGGTCCTGCTAGCTAGGGATCGTGGAAGTTGTAGGCCAAAAACATCTGGAGGGCCAAGGCTGAGGAAGCCTGGTCTAGGGCTGCAGTCCTAACCCCACTAACCTGGGAGTAAGCCCCATTGAATTCAGTAAGACTTACTTCCGAGTAGGCATGGTTAGGATTGCACTGGAGTTTTGGGACCAAAGTATTTCATGTATAACTGTGAGAGCAATCCTAGGCATGCATACTTAGAAGGAACCCAGGACACTTCTTCTAAGTAGCTATGGATAGGATTCTGCTGTAAGATTTCATCACTGTGCACCCTTACTTGGGAGTGGGGAGCACTGAGTTTGATGTGCAGGATCAGGCATATAGTTTTAAGGGTAGGTCTGGAAGCAGAATATTTGATCACTTGCATATTCTTATATTAGCTCTCAGAGGTCAGTTTTTTAGTTAGAAACTACTGCTAACATTTATTGTATGATTCTTGTTCAAATGCTGCCAGAACATGTGCAGCTTGTGATTCAGTCTGACTCTTAATTAAGATGCGTAATATTAAGGGGTTTTATTTTAACTCTTTTGTTATTAATCTTTTTTTTTTTTTAATGGGACTAGCTGGCCAGCAGGGTTTATCCGTTGCTTTTGATCTGGCAACTCACCGCGGATATGATTCAGACAACCCCCGAGTCCGTGGAGATGTTGGAATGGCTGGAGTTGCCATTGATACAGTAGAAGATACCAAGATACTTTTTGATGGGATTCCTTTGGAGAAGATGTCTGTTTCAATGACAATGAACGGGGCAGTAATTCCTGTCCTAGCTACGTTCATCGTAACTGGGGAGGAACAAGGAGTGCCACAATCCAAGCTCACTGGGACAATACAGAATGATATACTGAAAGAATTCATGGTTCGAAATACATATATTTTCCCTCCAGAACCATCAATGCGGATAATTGCTGACATATTTCAATATACATCAAAGGTATTATTTGCTTTAAAAAGGTAAAGGTACCCCTGCCCGTACGGGCCAGTCGTGTCCGACTCTAGGGTTGTGCGCCCATCTCACTTAAGAGGCCGGGGGCCAGCGCTGTCCGGAGACACTTCCGGGTTACGTGGCCAGCGTGACGAAGCTGCTCTGGCGAGCGGGCACCCACGCAGCACACGGAAACACCGTTTACCTTCCCGCCAGAGCAGTACCTATTTATCTACTTGCACTTTGACGTGCTTTCGAACTGCTAGGTGGGCAGGAGCTGGGACCGAAAGACGGGAGCTCACCCCGCCGCGAGGATTCGAACCGCCGACCATGAGATCAGCAAGCCCTAGGTGCTGAGGTTTTACCCACAGCGCCACCCGCGTCATATTATTTGCTTTAATATCCATTAATTATCATTACTATGTGTAGCATTCATAGGTTGATGTCTCTTGTAGAACAAAGCTGTATACTTTTTTTTATTGCAGCACATGCCCAAATTTAATTCTATTTCCATCAGTGGATACCATATGCAAGAAGCTGGAGCTGATGCGATTTTGGAATTAGCTTACACTATAGCTGATGGCTTAGAGTACTGCAGAACTGGACTCCAGGCTGGTCTCACTATTGATGAATTTGCACCAAGGTACATCAGTCTGTCATCTTTGTCCGGGTGAATCTAGTTTTTAATTTCAAGACTGGGCTCTGGTTCCAATGTATAAAATGGTTTGATGCTATAGCAAGTGATGTACAAACCTTTTGTTCTCCTTATGTTGGAATCTGCTCTGGAAGGTTCCCCCAGTCCCCTGGAAGAGATCTTGAAGGAGGGACTGGAGAAGAGGAGGGAAGTTCCATTGCACAGGTGGAAGCCTGTTGCTTGAAATGGAACAACAGTGTTAGATACAACCCACCATTTCCAACCCCAGGATAAATGTGGCCATCTGGTGGCTTCATGGGATTGATCTATCAGCCATGACTGTTGGTTGTGATCAGAACTTTCTGCGAATGTACTCTTGAAAACTCAGCTATCCCTTTAGTATTTCCAAGACAGGCTGAAGGACACATCTTTCAATTTTGGGTTCAAGAACATTGTTATTTATATGTACTGTATAATCCACAGTGTAATTTGTTCCTTATTCTACTCTGTTAAGACCATTTTGCTCTTATTCTAGGCTGTCTTTCTTCTGGGGAATTGGTATGAACTTCTACATGGAAATAGCCAAGCTAAGAGCCGGGAGGCGGCTTTGGGCTCATTTAATAGAGAAAATGTTTCAGCCCAAGGACACCAAATCACTTCTCCTTCGAGCTCATTGTCAGACTTCTGGGTGGTCACTAACTGAGCAGGTAGGAATCCCATTTTAATTATCTACCCCAAGTGTAATATTCAGAGTAGTAAGTATAGTGGTGCATGCTCACAGATAATAAAGCAGTAGCTTTTCTAACTCTGGGTGCCTTCGAACAGCTTCTGTTAAAAGACCAAGAGAAGAAGGAAGGAGGAAGTAGTATTGACTACTTAATGTCATTACTGAATAAGATTTTGCTCAGCTTTCCTACATCCTGATATTTAATTAAATTTATTTTAAATGTACATGCAATTTAAATGTATCTAAATGTGTGGTTAACAGTGGTGTACATTTAGGAGGAAGTCATATTTAGCTGGTGAGCAATTCTGAATACGGCCAAACAGTACAATTTCTGCCTCCAATCTCCACCATTGAAGGGGGTTAAGATAAGGCAAAAGGGACCCTTCACCAGGGAAGGCTTTGTTGCTGTGGCAGTCCTCTCTGCCCCAGTGGGGCAAGAATCTACCTCTGGCAGTGGCCTGTGGACAAGCCCCAAAAGGGCATTTGAGGATAGGGACAGGACACTGGTAGGTTTGGATCGGCTGGATTCAAGTTTCGTGAATCCCCTGAGAGGCAGCAAAAAAAGTAAAGGTAGGGGAGCCCAGTTTTTTTAATTGCTAATCTACTGCCCTCTGTATATTGGTGTACTATATTCCTTACAAATGCTCTGGTTTTTCTTCTAGGATCCTTATAATAACATCATCCGCACTACAATTGAGGCAATGGCAGCTGTTTTTGGCGGTACTCAGTCCTTGCATACAAATTCATTTGATGAAGCTTTGGGATTGCCGACGGTGAAAAGTGCTCGAATTGCCCGGAATACCCAGATTATAATACAGGAAGAGTCTGGGATTCCTAAAGTCGCAGATCCATGGGGTGGCTCCTTTCTGATGGAATCCCTCACCAATGATCTCTATGAAGCTGCATTAAAGGTCAGTCTTTCGCTTTGAAGAGGGAGGCAGAGAGAAAAAGGAAGCTGGTAATTTTAAGCAGCCTTGCAAATAAGTCTTGAAAACTTATTAGCCTGTATATTTGCAGAGCGATCTAAACCCTTGATCCGCTGTGTTTGGGGTTTGGATGGGACAGAAATGTTCCTTTGTCCTGCCCATCTCGGCTTCTTTCCACCATTGGTGAGGAATGTCTCAGTGCAGCTCTGAACAGTGGGCAGGGAGAAGTTACCATCACTGGCTGGCAGAGTTGATCCTTTGCCAACCCTGCTGTTCTCATGTGACTGCAGCAGATGCATTCTGGGCCTGCACCAGCCTGGGTGCTGGCATAGCGAAAGGATATTTCTCTCTCTCTCCCTCCCACTTTCACAATGACTGGTCAGAGGTTTGGATTGACCTCTTGGGCAATCCAAACTTAGGAAATGCCAAAAATAAGAGAATAGGGACATGGGTGGCACTATGGGTTAAACCGCAGAGCCTAGGGCTTGCCGATCAGAAGGTCGGCGGTTCGAATCCCTGCTCATGTTGTTTGGTCTCAGCTCCTGCCAACCTAGCAGTTCGAAAGCACATCAAAGTGCAAGTAGATAAATAGGTACCGCTCCAGCGGGAAGGTAAACGGCGTTTCCGTGCGCTGCTCTGGTTCGCCAGAAGCGGCTTAGTCATGCTGGCCACATGACCCGGAAGCTGTATGCCGGCTCCCTCGGCCAATAAAGCGAGATGAGCGCCGCAACCCCAGAATCGTCCGCGACTGAACCTAATGGTCAGAGGTCCCTTTACCTTTACCTAAAATAAGAGAACTACATGCTTTCCAATTTACATACCGTCCTGATTAGCAGGAACAACATCTTGCTTGACTTAGGTGGGTAAACAAACAGCTATTCACAAACCTGGTTTTAAGAAATGCCATTTGGAAGGGTGAGCTCCTGATTGTTCCTTTGCAAGTGGAACTCCCTTCAGTGCTGTACAGTTCCTCAGGAATTTCCCCATGGAAACTACCCAGTGCATCGGGGAGGGGTTTGTTTGTTTGTTTTTGAAGCACCGAAACTGCTTGTAAAAGCAAGAGGGGGAACTCTGTGATCATCAGCTGAAGGGCAGTATACAAATTTAATAATTAATAATAATAAAATAATGCTTTCAATGGAAACTGCTTTGTGTTTCAGGGCACACTCCCAGCACCAGTCAGCTGATTGGACTTGGGAGCATACCTTCAAAGGAGGTAGCTGTAACTGCCCATCAGCTGGGCAGTTTGCAACAATCCCCTTTGGACTTTGACACCAGAGTGTGAGAGTCTTAGGGAGCCAGCACACTGGCTGGATGCAGTTCCCCACCCCTGGTCTTAAATGGTTGCATTTCATCTGTCCCAGTTTTGTAAGTAGTTCCCTTGCAAATAGTGGGGTCAGAGAATGTTGCTTTAATGGTGATTTTAGTGCTAGGCAGCCACATACTGAGAGTCATTAACAGTATCCAAATTTTGTTGTCTGGTTAGCTCATTAATGAGATTGAGGAAATGGGTGGGATGGCCAAAGCTGTAGCTGAAGGAATACCCAAACTTCGAATTGAAGAGTGTGCTGCTCGGAGACAAGCCAGGATTGATTCTGGTAAGGAAAATGGACACTATTTAAACACAACATACACTTACGTAACTGCGCAGCCGCAGTCTGCCAGACATATAGACAAGTATCAGTCTTGAACTTGAATACCTTTATTCATATATTAAGACTTAAGTTCCCGTAACTCTTAAAACTCTAGTCCAAAATTAGGAGAATGAAAATGTAGAATCCAAGTTGAATTTCAGCAACACTTGCTAGTAAGATAAGTCTGTCAGTGTATGAAATAAAATCCTTTGGAAACAGTAGTACAGTGGTACCTCCAGTTACGAATGGGATCAATTCCGGAGGCCTGGCCATATCCCGAAAATTTCGTAACTGGAGGACCGCTTCTGTGGACACACGCGGCGGAGGTTACACAACACAAGGTACCACTATAGTTGCATTTGTTTTTTGCCTGTCTGAGCTAGACACCATACGTGAAACAATGGCTGGGTTCCAGTGAACTCTGCAACTAGTGCTGCAAGCCCAGGGGAAATTATGTTTCTCATGCGGTCCCCATGCTGCATAATGAACCACCTACTAAAAGGGGGTGGGGGGCTTTCAAAAAGTAGTTTATATTTTTGAACTGGTTTTCATTGCCCTATACAAGTCCTCTGTTTCATAGGGGAATTGTGTATTTTCTGGCTGCTATAAGGGACATGGGTGGCACTGTGGGTTAAACCACAGAGCCTAGGACTTGCCGATCAGTAGGTCGGCGGTTTGAATCCCCGTGACGGGGTGAGCTCCCGTTGCTCGGTCCCTGCTCCTGCCAACCTAGCAGTTCGAAAGCACATTAAAGTGCAAGTGGATAAATAGGTACTGCTTCAGCGGGAAGGTAAACGGCGTTTCCGTACGCTGCTCTGGTTTGCCAGAAGCAGCTTAGTCATGCTGGCCACATGACTCGGAAGCTGTACACCGGCTCCCTTGGCCAGTAAAGCGAGATGAGCGCCGCAACCCCAGAGCTGGCCACAACTGGACTTAATGGTCAGGGGTCCCTTTACCTTTTATATGAGTATCTTGCCTGTGACTTCATATTGCACAGCTATTTCTGTTAATAGCATCCACTGTTTCTTACATTGTTCGTGGGTCCCATTGACTTTGGCTTTTCTGTATTTGAGGTTTCCTCTCCTTTGCAATACAGATCGCGACACGTTCACCTGCGTGGAAGCATTGCAGTTTCTACGTGCATGCAAGCTGAAAATCTTAGCTACCTAAATTAAAATTTGAATGCGGTTGGTGAAAAAGCTTTCAGGTTGTGTTTTTCTTTTTGGAAATCTGACTTCATGTCGCGGCTTGATAGAAACTTGTTTTATGTTGTCAGTTTCTGAAATTTATTTTAAATCCTTAACGTTTGGGAAATACCCAGGTTCTGAAGTAATTGTCGGAGTGAATAAATACCAGTTGGAAAAAGAAGAGACTGTTGAAGTTTTGGCAATTGATAACACTTCAGTCCGTAACAAACAGATTGAAAAACTTAAAAAGGTACGTGTTAGAGATTTAATAGGTGAAGTAATATTGACATTATAAATCAGCATACAGTGTTATTTTATATTTGTGTCAAACCATATTACAGTTAAGAATACTTCTTAATATGCTTAGGATCACTTTGACCGATTGAAATAATATGCATTTTCCATATTGCATGCTCTCTCTCTCTCTCTCAGAGAAAATAGCATTTTAATACTGTTCTCTACTCCCTTCTTTCCTGAAGCCCCTCTCTTGTCCTGTCTATCTATGTCTTGTAGCTGGGGAAACCCAGCCAGATGAGTGGGGTATAAATAATATGTTGTTGTTGTTGTGTGTTGATAGCTATTAAAAAAATTACATACTTTAATTGCTCACAAATATAGTATAACACTTCAGAAGCTGAACAATTGACAAAGTCAAAGGTAGTGGCTTATTTCAGTCATAGCTGGAGGTTGTATAGCTAATATTCTGTTTGGGCTTTTTTACCAGAATAGGCAAATACATTATCAAACTACTATTGTTGATTTTGAACATTCCTGATTTTCATAAACAAAGCTTTGTTGCTTTTTGTTTCTGGACCCTTCATTTTATTTTAAATGTTACCACCTTCCTAAATTGACTGCTAGAATTGTGTTAGAAAACTGTACTGAACCTGTTTAGTTTGCAGGCTGCATCCTCCCAACACACACACACATATTGGACAGATGATTAATTAGCATTGATGGTCAGGATGTAATTTTTAGAACTAAATAATGGCATGTGTGTGCAATGCCTGGGTTTGTTCTTTTTCAGTGATAGTAGATGTCAGCAAAGTTCCCTGATTGGGAACCTCTTAGACGCAAACAAGTGAATCTGCATCTCTGTGAAGGTTTCCTATTTTGGGGCTTCGGAGCATATCTGTTTGCATTATATCAAAGGCAATGAGTGATATTTCCTTTAAGTTTCAGGAGTGACATTTATGGCAAGATAGATAAACTGCTGGCACCAAGGAGATGTACTGATATAGGTCTTATTGAAGCTGGTAATCTAATAAATATTGATTACACGAGTCCTCTTCAAACTCTTTTTTACAAAACAGTCGCTATTACTTACTTACTCATTTACTTTGATTATTTATATCCCACCCTATAACCAAAGCTCTCCGTGTGGCTTACAATATAAAAACAGCACAAATTGTATAAAAGGGACAACTTGAGCAGAACCAGGGAGCCCTATAGAATTATGCTGCAAACAGTTCTTGGCTGTTGTAAAGTTTTGCTTTTGTGTCTTTCCTTGAAGGTGAAAGCTTGCAGAGATGAAGTTGTAGCGCAGCGCTGTCTTGCTGCCCTGTCAGAATGCGCCGGCACAGGGCAAGGCAATTTGCTGGGCCTAGCAGTGGAAGCAGCACGTGCCAGGTACTGGGGGAAATACTGTGCATTTAACCCAAGGGTGGTTCAGAGCATCTCTCCCAGGCTCTGACTAACTCCCTGTGGCCTGCTCTGGCAGTGCATAAGTCATGTGTGTGACTAGAGAGATGTTTTCAGTGGTGGAAAGGTCCAGATTTAAAAGGCATTAAGCTGTGAACCTCACTATGGGAAGTCAGTCTCTCAGCCTGATTTCCTTCACTGAGGGGCAAAGGGGTGGGGATTCTGAAGCTAAATCATCACTCTGAGTTCTTTGCAGGAAAACCAGAAGAAAAAGACAACAAATTTTTAAATAAATAAAACCCGAATAAATATCTAAGGGAGGAGGGAAGCCAGAAGCAGCCATAACAAATATTTTGCTCCTTTATATTCTCAGTGGAGCATTTTCAAGACTGCTGTGGGGAGGATGACTGGGAAGTCAGGGTCCACAAGCCCCATTGTATGTGCTTAGCTTTGGGTCCAACTAAGGCATCTCCTAGGAGCGTTTAGCATAGCTCTACTGAACATTAATACACCATTCTAACTTCCGATAGGGGACGCAGGTGGCGCTGTAGTGTAAACCACAGAGCCTAGGGCTTGCTGTTTGGAAGGTCGGCAGTTCGAATCCCCGCGACGGGGTGAGCTCCCATTGCTTGGTCCCAGCTCCTGCCAACCTAGCAGTTTGAAAGAACGTCAAAGTGCAATTAGATAAATAGGTACCACTCCGGCGGGAAGGTAAATGGCGTTTCCGTGCGCTGCTCTGGTTCGTCAGAAGAGGCTTAATCACGCTGGCCACATAACCCAGAAAAACTGCCTGCGGACAAACGCCGGCTCCCTCGGCCAGTAAAGCAAGATGAGCGTCGCAACCCCAGAGTCGTCTGCAACTGGACTTAACTGTCAGGGGTCCCTAACCCTTTTTAACTTCCAATATTGTGGAATTGGGGAAAGTTGAGATTATGTTTGCTGTGATTAGATTATTGTAATATGAAACTATTGTGACAAGTGCCATTGAAATAGGTGCTGAGTTTTTATTTCTTTTTGTTGAGGTGTGTTTACTCAACCTTAATGTTTGGGCTGCATATATTTTTTCAGATGTACAGTTGGTGAAATAACGGATGCAATGAAAAAGGTGTTTGGTGAGCACAAAGCCAGTGACCGCATGGTGAGTGGAGCTTACCGTCAGGAGTTTGGGGAGAGTGACGAAATTACTCAAGCAATCAACAGGTAAGGTGTGCTGTTTCTATGGATTAAATCAGATGGTGTGCTATCAGGCTTCCAAATTTTTGCATGCTACGAACGTATGTCCCATCTCACTTCCAAAGTTTTAGAATATTTAAACTAAACAGTAGTTTGTATTTCACAGAATTTCTTACACTTCTCAAATTTAAGGCACTAATGCTAGTTCCTGTCATCTCAAGGATTTCCGCTGTGCCCTCTTCCCTCCAGAGCAGATTGAGGGGGGCACAAGAGGCAGAGGGGGGAAGCCCGTCTCACAGGTGGAAATCCTAGCGCTGATGGGAGGTATTCATTTGATACTGCCCTCTGTAATTTCTGCATTTCTTTTATCTTCTCCATTTTTAATTGGGGGATTACATTCTTTTATTCACTTTATAAGCCAACCATTTTTACTTAATAAATGTTCTTCCAAATTTTATAAAGTCAAACAATTACCTTAAAGCTATTACCTCTTTGCACATGTCTAAAATGGGTGGGTTTTGTTTTGTTAATGCTGGGTTTTCAACCTTACTATGTTAGTTATGTTTGTTATCAGGTTTGTTCTGCAAATTCGCTGTATTTATTAATTGGTTATGGGAAGTATTGTAAACTAGACATTTAACAAAATAAACTCATCGCCTTTAATTTAAGGCTGTTGATGATGAGGAGAACCTGATAAAATACCAGGCTGCGTTCAAGGTCTTACCAGTAGTATATAAAGCCCTTAACACCTTGGGACCAGTTCACCTGCAAGGTTGCTTTAACCCATATTTTCCCACTCAGCCACTTCATTCTGCAGAACTGGCATGGTTACGGGTACCACATAATACTTGTTAATAATAATATCCTTCAGCGTAGCCACATCTGCATTTGGAAACTCCTTTCCTAGTGGCATCAGGCAAGCACCTCTGTTACTCTGTTTGGTAAAAGCATGCTTGTTTTGAGAGACCTACCCAAGAGAATGGTGGTGTGTGTTTTAATCTGTGTTTAGCGTATCGCTGATTTTATTTTTTCAATGTTTTGAAAAGGTTGTTTTTAGTTCTTTTTACTGCTAATTTTATTGCTTTTATGAAATAAATAAAGCAAGCTCAGCATAATTTTGCATCTATTATATTAGGAGTTACTAGAATTTTTTTGTGTTATTTTAATGTATTCCCTGTTTTTCCTTTTGTTCCTGATTTATTCAATCTCATCATTACCAAATGGAAGGTAAATGAGAGAGAGAGATTATAAAATTTCCATATACACATAAAACTCCATACTACTAATAGAATTCAAATGCATATAGATAAATCTTTAAAAATGGAAGACTTTTTTGTTGTAGTCACAGCTGTCAAGATACCCTTAAAAATGTTACTTCAACCGTCTGCAACTTACAAAAGCAAATTCTAAATTCAGAGTTAACAAGTTTGTGGAACGTGAAGGTCGGAGACCACGTCTTCTTGTTGCAAAAATGGGCCAGGATGGCCATGACAGAGGAGCCAAAGTGATTGCTACGGGATTTGCTGACCTTGGGTTTGATGTGGATATAGGCCCACTCTTCCAGGTATTTAGTCTCTTCCATTCAAATTGTTATTTGTTTGTTTGTTTGTTTGCTTGCTTGCTTGCTTGCTTGCTTGCTTCTCCTAGCAATTAAAATGTCTGACGCTTGAATAAAGGATAGTTAAAAGTAAAGGGACCCCTGACCGTTAGGTCCAGTTGCGGACGACTCTGGGGTTGCGGCGCTCATCTCACTTTACTGGCCAAGGGAGCTGACGTTTGTCCGCAGTTTTTCCGGGTCATGTAGCCAGCATGACTAAACCGCTTCTGGCAAAACCAGAGCGGTGCACGGAAACGCCATTTACCTTCCCACCGGGAGTTGTACCTATTTACCTACTTTCACTTTGATGTGCTTTCGAACTGCTAGGTTGGCAGGAGCTAAGACCGAGCAACGGAAGCTCACCCCGTTGCGGGGATTTGAACCGCCGACCTTCTGATCGGCAAGCTCTAGGCTCCCAGTAAGTCATCTGTAGGAATGGCTTTATTTATTTTTTGAATATATTTTTGTATTTTATATTTTTGTACACAGCTATGAGGGCCTCGGGCTTTTAAGCAATTTATTAATTTGTAAAATAATTTTGTAAAAAATACATGCAGCTATTGTTTCAATTTCCTATTCGCACTAAAGGTAACAACCAGAATATGTTGTACTGGGATGATTTTACAGATTCCCGAGTTGGAAGATGCAGTGGGTTAGGTGGGTTATGTTCCTCTCTGTACTCTACTTTCTGGGCACCCATACAGTGGTACCTCGGGTTAAGTACTTAATTTGTTCCGGAGGTCCGTTCATAACCTGAAACTGTTCTTAACCTGAAGCACCACTTTAGCTAATGGGGCCTCCCACTGCCACCGCATCACCGCCAAGCGATTTCTGTTCTCATCCTGAAGCAAAGTTCTTAACCCGAGGTACTATTTCTGGGTTAGCGGAGTCTGTAACCTGAAGCATATGTAACCCGAGGTCCCACTGTATTGTCTAACCTAAATGCCAGTAGCAGCCTTCAGCGGTGCATGCTGGTGTCTGTGTTTTTTTGTCGCTCTATGAAAAAAGAAGCGTGGGTCTGCATGCAGTGTTAGGTTTTATGCATTCTTCTTTCCCATATTGTTTGACACTTCCTTTGCTTTCTCTTCCTAGACACCCCGTGAAGTGGCCCAGCAGGCGGTAGATGCGGATGTGCATTGCGTGGGTGTGAGCACCTTGGCCGCTGGCCACAAAACGCTTGTTCCTGAACTCCTCAAAGAGTTGCATGCCCTTGGCCGCCCAGACATTCTCGTCATGTGTGGAGGAGTCATCCCTCCCCAGGTACTGCGCACCACCATCACAAGATGGCTTGTTGTGAGATGATTAAATTGTTCCCAGTGAGGTGGGGTCTCCATCTACTTTCTCCTCCTCCTCCAGGCAAATGAACACCATTGAAAGGCTTTTAAAGTAACATCTAGCTATTGAAATGTGGAAATCCTTCAGCAAATTTTGGAAAGCATTGTAGTTTATGGGTTTAGGGTTCACAGAACAACGCAGTTGAAAAGCAGCCTCCCAAAAGCTTTCTAAAACTGCCAATATAATCAAATAATTTAAAAATCACTTTTTAAAGTTAAAAATATTCATAAACATTTTAAGAAATGAAGGAAAAAAGGGACTAGTTTCCTTTACTGACATAGAAAATATATAATTTTTTCTTCTTCCAGAATTTGTTTTTTTCCAGGGGGTGGTGGGGCGTTATAAACAAGAATAATGTTATACAGATGAGTACAGTGGTACCTCGAGTTACAAACGCTTCAGGTTACAAACTCCGCTAACCTGGAGTTACCTCAAGTTAAGAACTTTGCCCCAGGATGAGAACAGAAATCGTGTGCCAGCGGTGCAGCAGCAGCAATAAGCCCCATTAGCAAAAGCACGCCCCTAGTTAAGAACAGTTTCAGGTTAAGAATGGACCTCCGGAACAAATGAAGTTCGTAACTAGAGGTACACTGTATACTGTACCAAGTTTTCTTATGTCATTTGTATATCACAAAAATAGCATAATAAATATGGGAAAATATCCAGAACATATGTTTCATTATTAGTGGTCAATGTAGAAGTTCTTAGTTCATGAATTGGTTTAATTAGGAAGAAGGGAAGAAAGGGCTGGAGGGGAAAATGGCAAGTGGAGTGGTGTAGAATTTGCTTTTCTGCTTCGAATCTCTTGACCTTGGTATACGGTAATTGTTAAACCTGGCAAAAGATTTGTATAGAGCCACAAGTCTCTGGTTGTCTTGGAGCACAGGTGAAAATGTTCCCCACTTTTGATGATTTCATTCTTTATGTTAGATAGGAGCAGAGATTGCTTGAACCTGTAGTCACTAGGACTTTGCACACATGGCGAGGTATACGTAGGTGAGAGCATCACTGCTTTCCCCCATAGCTAGCATACTAAGTTATTTTCCCTTCTCCATGTGCACTACCTCCTCACCTGCCATTGCTAAACTCTGCTCTTTTAGCATGTGTTCTGCAGAATTTTACTTTACAAAGTTTGCATGCATGTTTTATGTCTGTTTTTCTCCTGCACAGGATTATGACTTCTTGTATGACTCTGGTGTTTCCAATATTTTTGGCCCTGGAACCCGAATCCCAAAGGCAGCTGTCCAAGTTCTTGAAGATATTGAGAAATGCTTGGATAAGAGGCAGCAATCTGTGTAAACTTCTGTCTCATAACAAACTTTGTATCTCATGGTGAATCTTATAGTTTGTGTTGATGCATTGTGATCTGTTGATAAAAAGAAGGAATTGATGCGAATTCATCTACAATGTCTGGTGTTGCCTTATGCTTTCTAAGAAAGTGGGAAATTATCTGCAATATTATTACATACATATGTAAAATCTATCAAAGAATCTAAATGAAATGAGTAAATTTTAAAATTTTGCATATAAGACTTCATTATATCTGAAATACACTTCAGATCTTTGGATATGCAAATTACAATTTAAAATAAATGTTACTGATACAGAAAGGTGGTGAAATTATGTCCTGTCGTTTCATACTGTTTGTTCACATGCCTCTTGCCCTTTCGGTCCAGTCTCGTTGCCCTAGCTTTGTTTGCTTGTCAGATTGACAAATATCCATTTCCTACCCCTGGTAGTCTGCCTCAGGCACAGGCAACCTTCGGCCCTCCAGATGTTTTGGCCTACAACTCCCATGATCCCTAGCTAACAGGACCAGTGGTCGGGGATGATGGGAATTGTAGTCCAAAACATCTGGAGGGCCGAAGGTTGCCTATGCCTGGTCTCCCTTTTTCTTTTCCTGCTCAATAGCCTCTGTAGAGTCTGAAGTTGGTGGCCTTGCAGGAGATATGGGCAGTTTCCAGTTCTGTGACCTCACGAATCCTTTACTGAGATGACATGCACAAGACGGATAGAGCCACCCTTTTATGAAAAGTCCTTTTTTGTAAGGTTCTTGCTCAACAGCCTTAATAGAAGTATTGAAGGGGGAGGTGTTAACAGCCCGTTAAGCAAAGGTCTTTTCTTATTCTTCAAGACGCCTGTGCCTCTTGAGACTCCATCATTGACACCTGAGCTCAGCATCCCATACAGTCCAACAAAAGCACAAAAACAAATGCCAAGTTCACTAACATTACAATCTCTTTTAATTGCACAAATACCTCCTCTACCAGCTATTAATATAGCAAATTCTAATTTAGTCCATGTGTTCAAAATTCCTTGAAATTCCTCATTTCTTGCTGGCAGGTCTTTTTTTAAAAAACAGAGACCTCAGAATTATCCTGCAAGCAGTTTATTATAAACTTCCTAGGAATTACTGCCCTTGCAGTGTTTCCCTGGGAGATTTCATGATCTGGACTTTGGAGCAACGTTTTTGAATAAGACTTCTGCAGCTGCAGCGGATGGATTTGGAACTTCTCCACTGTCTGTCTTTCTGAATGAAGAAATGTGTGCGTTATCCCTTCCTGACCAAATCACTGACACATGGCAATTGGTGGTATGCTAGGTGCTAAAGTAAACTTTCTGACTACAGCACCACTGGAGGCACTTAAGTTTTGCTGAAAGTATAGTAAATGAAAAGGGTTGTAGGCTGTTGAGGGTTTAGCAAAAAGATATGGCAACATTCACTGGAGTGAAATATTGACCAGAAGCTGACTGCGGCATATGGTGTCCATGCGCTGAGGAATCCCACACTGATCAGTACAGCCATCTGTAAAAACAACCACTTATAATTAGTTACTGGCTGGCTTTTTATATTTTCTCCTTCTCTATCTGTTATTTCAAATCGGTGAGAGAGAAATGAAGGATTAGTGCTTCAACATTTAAGAGATATTTAAACAATTGGCTCTTGCTTTTATTTTAGGCTGTCCATTCATTTTATCCTAAGACCCAAAAGCAGTATCCTCTGCAGTACAGCAGCCCTCTAGCAGTAAAAAATAACACAAGATCAGGATAAGAAATTAAGAACAGCATTCTTTGTGTTTATCAGATGCTTTACATCATAATGGAATGTCACCTGTTTCAAATTATAGTCCTATAGAAGAAAATATGCCAGAGCTTTAGCATCTCATAGAAAAGAAATACGTACACCACACGCTCTATGAGCCCATATATTGCAAGATCTAAAAGTCTTACAGTATACAGGTTCATCATTAAGTTAGTCCCCAGTATGAATGTGGCTGCGAAAACCCAACCAGATGGGTGGGTTATAAATATTTTTAATATTAATATTATTTCTCATTAATACAATAAGCTTTCATACCAATGAATCTAACAACTGAAAAACAGAGGAGTTGCTCAATGTCTGCAACTCAAATGGAACACAAACCATACGTGAAGGCAAACACACACAAACAGCCCAGTCCATAGCATCCATAAGTGCTTTGGCATTTCCCCAATATTTTGACAATAATTTTCAATCTGTAGGGACAGAATCAATGTCTGAGTCAAAGGAACACTGTGTTCCTATTGCTCTTTAAAATACAAAAATACTCTGCTCGCGACAACACATACCCACCAATGTCAACTTCTTCTCCAGCTTTGCTGCATTTGAAGTCCTGTTGAAGTTCTGCATCTCATGAGAGGTTTTATGAACCCACCAGACTACACCCAAGTAACAGATGGTGATGGTAATCGCTGGCAGAATGGTACAGATCCTACAGATGACTTACTGGGTTATACATTAGGGAGAGCTTTCCTAAATAAAACATCTTCAAGAAGACATGTAAACATTATGATGCTAGGCACCTGTCTAATTCCAGCTGGGAATGGATTCCAGAGGGCTGGAGCTACACTACTAAAAGCCAATTTCTAGTACAACCTAAGCACACCTCTGGCTCATGCAGCAGTCTCAGCAGCGCCCCATCTGAGAATATAAAGGAGCAAAATATGTGTTGTGGCTGCTTCTGGCTTCCCTCCTCCCTTAGATATTTATTCAGGTTTTATTTATAAATTTGTTGTCTTTTTCTCCTGGCTTTCCTGCACAGAACTCAGTGATGATTTAGCCTCATCATCTCCACCCCTTTGCCCCTCAGTGAAGGAAATCAGGCTGAGAGACTGACTTCCCATAGTGAGGTTCACAGCTTTTAAAATCTGGACCTTTCCACCATCGAAAACATCTCTCTAGTCACACACATGGACCGACACATTCCTTATGCGCTGCCAGAACAGGGCCACAGGGAGTTAGTGCAGAGCCCTGGAGAGATGCTCTGGACCACAGCATTTCCCCCAATACCTTGCACGTGCTGCTTCCACTGCTGGGCCAGCAAATGGCCTTGGCCTGGGGCGGCGCATTCTGACAGGACACCGCTACAATTTCATCTCCGCAAGCTTCACCTTCAAGGAAAGACACAAAAGCAAAACTTTACAACAGCCAAGAACTGTTAACGATTGATAAAGCTGCTCCAATGTTGCACAGTCTCTTACTCCTCTTCCTCCAGATCTTCAATGTCTTCCACGATGAGTTCTTCTGAAAGGAAAAGAAGAGAAGGCTGCCAGTTAGAAAGGCTTCTTACACACACACACATACACACACACACAGAGAGAGGCTTTCTGAACACATACATAGAAATAGACATTACCTTCTGGATGACATTTTTTTTATTTTGCCTGAGGTGCCAATGAAGTACGTGGAGCCTACAGGGAAACAAAGAGCCACATGGGGTATGATTATCTAAACCTCAAAATAGGCATCAGACAGAGACCTTTCCTAAGAAATCTCAGGGACTGGAATCAACTACTATATGCTGAAAGGTTTTACCTTTGTGGTCCTTTCGAAAAGGGGTCCACAGGGGGAGGCAGGGGGCGGGGGGGGAGGACTCGGGGAGAGGGCACACTTTATTTTTTTTCGCCATTCACGAAATCGCTCTTCTCAGTCTTCCAAGCCTAAAAAGGAAAGAGAAAAATGTGAGAAATGGGGCTCACAGTTAGTCCTCTCCTGATCTACATCCCGAAACTGGTTTTTGCATTCACGCCTCTAAGCTCCCTATCACCACAGAATTCAGTTGCGCATCAAGGCCCCGGCGCACCCCCCAAGAATAAGAACACCTTGAGACAGGATTTGACTCTGAAGGTTAATGGGCAAAATTTAGGCCACAACTTTATTGAGTACAGCAATGTGAGTGGTATTGGCTTAGGCCAGTGGTGTCCAAACTTTTTTCAAAGAGGTCCAGATTTGATGAAGTGAAGGGCTGACCAAAGTTGTTGAGCTTGAGGAAATCAACTGACACAGGGGCCAGATTTAACCGGATTAGGACCCTGAAAAAATGGACTTTGGGCATGCCTGGCTTAGGCATTGGCAATAACTCCTGCCTGCCTTGTAGGAAGTCTGGAAGAGTAAGCCACCAACAGAGGGTGCTCCATCAATGGTTGCTTTTTTAATTTATTTAATCATTTTTTTCAATACAAACAGGAATCGCAAAAGACACATGCAACAAAAAACATAGTAACACTAATAGCACAGTTTGACAATTCAGATTTGGATACACGGATATACCTATGACTACACCTTTTTAACAATATTTCCCCGCCTCTCTCTCCTCCCCCTACTTTCCACCGTTATCCACCTTATTGCTTAAATATTCCTTCCAGATTTCTTCATATTTATCCATTCTTAATTTGCGTCGACATGCAATTCGTTCGTATGTAGCTAGTCTGTCCATATTATCAATCCATGTGCTCAGTGGAATCTTTTTGCGGCTCTTCCAATTCATCAAAACAAGTTTTTTTTGCTTCTAATAGAGCACGGTACATCCATATATATTTTTTGACCCCTTGTAATCTCCCACGTTTCCAGAATATAACTTAGAATTAAATTTAATTCTGCTAAATAACAATTTCTTTTTATGACTCTTCCTATAAATATCCTCACCTCACACCAAAATGATCTTATCATCGGGCATTTAATCATCACATGTACTAAGTTTGCATTTTTACTCCCACATCACCAGCAGTTGTCCGCACTTGTTATTTTCTTCTGGTATAGTTTTGCAGGAGTCCAGTGGACTCCGAATATTATTTTCTGTTGAATAAGTCTTAGTCTTAGATCCATAGAGGCTATTTCTGTTGATTTTATACTTGACTCCCATATGTCATTTGTTATCTGGAGCCCCAACTCTTCACTCCATTTTTGTCTATCGTATTCTAAATCATATTTCTTCCTGTTGAGTAGGGTTTTATATAGTGCAAGTGTAGAGTTTTTTGTTTTTGCTGCAGAGATTAAATCTTGTAGCAGCATGGGCGTTTCTGAGGCTGCTATAGCATCAGGGCCAAACTGCCATTCCTACATATGGTTCAATTGGATGTATTGCCGTTGTGTTTCACTGGTTAATCCATACTTTACTTGCAAAGTCTTATATTCCACAAATTTATAATTTTCATCAATTAATTGATTCAATGTCAAAATATCTTTTTTCATCCAATTTTGCCAAATTATTACTTGATTTCCAATTTTTAATTTTGGGTTGGCCCATATTGTTAATTTCTCATGTTGATTATTTTTATTTATATTCATCCAAATTTTTATAGGTGCTTTAATAGTCTCCAGGATAATAGGATATTTCATAAAATTGGAGCCGAGTTGAGTCCACCCTACAAGAGCTTCCAAGAAACTATATTTGAGAGTAGCCCAGTTGGGATTCCTGCTAGATCTCCAATCAATAGTCTTACTCAGCAGGTAAGCCTGGTGATATAGTTCCAGATTTGGGAGACCAAAACCACCTTCCTTAGTTGGAAGTTGCATTTTATGTAGTGATATTTTTGGTGGCTTTGTACCCCACAGGCACGGTCTAAATAGTTGATTTATTTTTTGGAAGTAAAATTTGGGAATATGTATTGGTAATCCTCTAAGAATGTATAAAAGCTTTGGAACAACATTCATTTTAAGGACATTAACCTTTCCCCAAAGGGAGAGGTTTAGAGGTCCCCACCTCTCAATATCAAAAGAAATCTCATTTATAATTTGATTCAAATTTAATTTTACAATTTGGTCTATATCTGATGAAATCATTATACCCAAGTATTTAATAAAGTCTTTGCACATCTGAAATTGATGGTTTCTATACAATGTAGCCCTTGGCCCAATTGGTAAAATCTCTGATTTTGTCCAATTTATAGAATATCCCGATATTCTGCCAAAGGTTTTTATTTTCTCCATAATTTTTGGAATTGTATCTTCTGGTTTTGTAATAAATAAAAGGATATCATCTGTAAATAATACAGTTTTGTAATTATCTTTGTTGTGTTTTACACCCTTGATATGCTCATCCTGAATTATTGCTCTTGTTAATGGTTCCAGGCAGAGATTAAATAATAATGGAGAAAGAGGACATCCTTGCCTCGTTCCTCAATTTAAACTAATCAAATTCGAAATTCTTCCATTTGTAACAATCCGAGACGTTGGGTTTTTATAACTCATTTTAATCCAATTACAGTATTCTATAGGGAAACCAAATTTACGTAACACAAACCCTATGAATTCTTTATATATTCTGTCAAAAGCCTTTTCTGCATCTAATGACAATATCATAAACTCCTCTTCATCTTTGTTTAAGTTTATCAAATCTATTGTTAATCTGATGTTATCTGTAGCTTGTCTTGTTTTTATAAAACCTGTTTGATTATTAGGTATCAAGTCCTGAATAACTTTTTGTAATTTTGCCGCCAATATTACATTCAAAATCTTTGCATCCACATTCATTAATGGTATTGGTCTATAATGTGCACATTTAGTAGGGTCTTTGTTAGGTTTTGGTATAATCATTATTAAAGCTTCATTGAATGTTGTAGCAGATATACCTTTATGAGCTCTTTCCTTATAGACTTCTAGAAGTCTGGGGACTAGTAGATTTTTGAATATTTTATACCATTCCATAGGAAAACCGTCTGGTCCAGGAGATTTCCCATTCTCCATTGTTTCTATACCATTCTCAATATCTAATATATTTAGGGGTGCTGATAGCATATCTTTTTTATCTTCTTCAATAGTTGGTATTTTGATATCTTGAAAGAAGTTCTCCATCTCATCCTCTGATATATTTTCTGGCCCTTGATATAATTTTTTGTAGAATTAAAAAAATTCTTTATTGATATCTATTGATGAGGTCGCTGCGATGTTATTTTCATTTCTTATTAAGATTATTATTTGGTTCGCTTTCTTTTGTTTTAGACGATTAGCTAGAATTTTTGTCGGTCTGTAGTAAAGCTAGTATCGTTTAGAAGCTGTTCCTTGGTCAAGCAATGAGAGTGAGGCCTTGTGGGTAACCAACAAGCCACAAGGACCATGGGAAATAAGTTCTGTCCCTTTATCCCCAGACTAACAGGCACCCAGGGTCTGAAAGTTTTACTATGGGAAAGGAAACCCCTGATTTAATGGAAGGCTTGACACCTGGGTCCAAGTTCTGTGCATTCCCTTAGCGATGTTATCTGGCCTTGATGGCCTGGGAATGTGTATTTGCAGAGGCACCACGGAAGGGAGGAAAACCTTTGATTTGGGCTCTGGGTTCTTAATTGGCCCAGCTGCCAGAAGTTAGATTGATTAGCCCGCCAGCCGGTCATTGGAGAATTTAAAAATAATCAAGAGTTATGATTGGTTTCGGGGGTTCCGACGCCACGTGTGAATCAGGGATAAAAGATCTGGGAAATGGCTGAGAAAGTGCGCTCTGCAATCCGCAAATCGCCCGGCTGCTGATGTTCCATCTAAGTAGCTGTCCTTACATCCTTTGTGTTGGAGATCTGCGAAAGCCTTTGAACTGCGGAATCTTGAAAGGACTCTATCTATCCCTTTTGTGCTTTAGTTGTGAGTATGTAAGCTAGTTAGATTTCACAATGTTTTTATTTTCCTTGTCTGTAACTTACTAAAGAAGTGCCTGCTATTTTAGCATGTTTTCTTATGTTCTTTTAAAATAAATTTTAAATAAGAAACTGTTTTGGTTTGTGTGCCTTTCCGGGGGGAAAAGCTAAGTCCGAGCCTTACGCTTAGTTACGCTCTACCGTAGAATTTCTGTCTGCAAGTTTGCGGACTCAACTTGTGGAGTGGGGATAACCAGTAACAACAGGGCACAGCCTTCTCCCTGGGTTGTGACTCTAGGTTCCCCGGAACAGAGGGAGTGGTGGCAGCTCTACCGGTGTGATTTTGTCCTGCTTCTGTATAACGTGACTTTGCCTGCCAGCCCTGTTCAAGAAACCTGATCTGGCCGGAGAGCAAAGACAGGTGAGGGAGGAGCGAGCGGCTGGGGGCAACTTTACTACACGGTCTTTCACCCTGTTCCCAATATATTTGTCTTAGACTTAGTAGGCTGAACTCATTTTTTTGAGCTAGTATATTATTCAGTTCTAATGTTAGTTGTATTCTTTCATATGTAGCATTAGATGGGTTATTTGACATATCGCCCCATAGTGTTTTTAAATAAATTTTTAGATTGTTTTAATCTTTGCAGCTTGGCTTTGTTGGCAAAGAAGGATATTATCTTCCCTCTGATATCTTCCCTTGTATATCCTTCCTATTCCACCAGTCTTGCCGTTGAAGATTTGTAGTTATTTTTAAAATATATTTGTGTTTCTTGGGTTATATATTGAATGAAGTTTTCTTCCATTTAAGAATGATATATTAAAAGGATCCACTAAATTCCACTGTATCATATAGTTATTATTTGTCTCTCTAACCTTTGTCCTTTTTTTCCTGGCTACTGATGTGGTATCCATCTGTGGATCTAAAATTTCATTAAAGTCTCCACCCATTATCAACTGCTGATACGATAGGAAGCTTAATCTCTTAAAGCAATTGTGAATAAACTTATGGTCATCAGTGTTTGGGGCATAGACATTTACTGTTGCTATTTCTGTCCCTTCTGTTTTAATTACAATTATTAAGCATCGACCATCTTCCTCTCTTATTATATCTTGCATTTCATAAGGCCAGCCTTTCCTAAACAAAATTGTAACTTCCCTCCACGACCTTCCTCCAGTCCATAAATCATTAAATAGGTTTTAATCACCTTTATTTTATGCTTCTCCTTGCATTCTTGCTGTGGAGCTTCTCAGCGTGTCTGGAGCTCCATCATTGGTGACCAACTGAAACTCACCCAGGGGTTCCCGCTGGGTCCTGGCATGGCCCTAGGCTCCCAAGCAGACTTTGAACAAGATCCGGACCCGCAGATTCCTTTACTGGAATACCCTTGTACCTGGAGGGGCAGGTGATGGCCGCACCTCCCCTCCCCCACATTTCACTAAGCCAATGCCTAACCGCCAAACCTTACAAAGTTGTGACAATTGCTAAGAGGTAGGCGAAAACCAAGAGGCCAGTACCAATTTGCCAAATGGAAAAAATTCCTACTCAGCCCCTGTTCCAAAACAGGCGACCAACGAAGTCCAGAGCAAGGCCAGAACACACCTAAATCGAGGGCAGGTGTTTGGTGGCACAAACCCAGGCAAACCCCCCCAACGCTGCCCCACTGCCTTTTAAAGCCCTCCTCCCCCCTCGATCACACCACCCCTCCCAAGGAAGGGGGGCTGCACCTATGGCCTGTGCGCAAGGCAGACCCTCAATTAAGAGGATCCGATATGCTGAAAGAAATCCTACTTACATGCTCTCTCTACTCTCACAAGCACAGAATGATCCAAGCATAGGAGATCCCAGGCCTTCTAGAGCTCGGGCGACCAGTGAGCCAGCAGAGGGAGATGTCACAATGAACCTTACGATGCGGCACCCCCCGGCCCTGAGAAAACCAGCAGCCACAAGTCCTGCTCCTCTTAAGGGACGCGGCTAAGTTTTCACATATGGTTTTCTTCCATGTTCCACTTTTTATAAATATGCAGAATGTGCCTATTCCTTTCGATTCCAGCTGAAGCTGTTCCTGCACCTACTGAGCACTAGCTATCTCCTACACCTGTCCCATACTCTCCAACATTTCTCCCATGCAAATAGGAATGTCTTATTCCATTATTATTATTATTATTATTATTATAATAATTCTGACTGGGTTGTCCCAGCCACGCTGGGCAGTTTCCAACATATACAAAAACATAATAAAACATTAATTGTTAAACGCACCACTTCAATATCATGTCCCAATGCTCTAAGGTACAGCTTTTCAGACCGGCGAGAGCCGATGCATCTGCATAGGTGCAAGGGCCCAGCCAGCAGGGAATCAAACACATGAATATTCCCTGTGTTAGACGGCAAGGGTTGCAAATATGTGCACCAGGAAGGGGCATGGTGTTCATCAGCCACGACACCCACATTCCTGCAGTTCACCTGAACTGGGCAGACACACAGGTGGAGCCAATCCAGCTCTCCCACCCGTGTCCACACACAGCCCCAATCTCACCGCTGCCCCATCCAGGAAAGTTGCAGCAGCACCTGTATTGGGGGTGCAACTCTGCCCCATGGCACCAACCAAGACTGATCAGGGCAGACATTTATTTCAACGCTAGCATGGTAATTTGGGCTTCTTGTGAGACTTCTGGAATTGAATGAAAGGGAGAAAAATAAAAGTAGGCATTCCCTATTTGTTTTCTACTACACAGCTATGGTGTTGCTAAAACGATCCCAGGCTCCTGTCTTCAAAGCTGAATTTTAATTTTCTCCTTAGGCAAGCCAGAAGAGGTAAGTATGAATTATATTTATCCGTAGAAGCTATTATGATGATAGCAAAATATTATTGCTTTCTTTAACACATTATATAGATTGGAAGTCCATAAAAGTTCATAAAAAGAAAGAAAATGAATATTGGGGATTGCTTTCTTGAAAGCATCACCACACCCAAGACGATGTGTCAGGCTCCTGGCATGGGCGTAGCCAAGGAGGCGGGGGGGGGGAAGCTGCCCCCTCTAAATCAAGTAAATCAATAAAAATACTGAACTAACTGACCAATTGCATCACAGATAACTCAACTCTGCCCTTAGCCTCCAAAATAAAGCCTGCCCCACAATAAATGCTGTTTGCACCTATGGCTCCTGGTATCAGTTTTCCAAATCCGGGATGGTGCTTTCAAGGACGCAATTTCAGCCACATTTATTCTGATCCTTATGAAGAACTGTTCCCTTTCCCTCTTAACAAATAAATTGCCACAGCGGCAGGTTTGATCCCCAGATGGGCCAGCCATATATTCCTGCATTGCAGGGGTTGGACTAGATGATCCGCTGGGTCCCTTCCAGCTGTACAATTCTGTGATTCTTATGTTCTCAAGCTCCCCTGGTGCCGGCCAGGTGTGGCCACTCAGTTTCCTCAAGTACTTGAGGAATTGCAGCCTGTCATAAGAGGATGACAGCTGATGGGCGGCAAAAAGCCTCTGCTATCTGCTGGGATTGCCAGGTGCCATACTCTGTGCCTGCTCAAACATGCCTGTTGCTTACAGCTACAGCCATCTCATTCTAGTTTGCGTAAAGGAGTTTCTATCCCAAGTATCTGCCAGGGAAATAAAGGGTCTGGAAAGGTTAACCTCGCTCAGAGCGGCCAAGGCTTAATAAATAAAGCTCATCTCGCTTTATTGGCGTTATGTGGCCAGCATGACTAAGCCGCTTCTGGCGAACCAGAGCAACGCACAGAAACACTGTTTACCTTCCCGCCGGAGCGGTACCTATTTATCTACTTGCACTTTGACATGCTTTCAAACTGCTAGGTTGGCAGGAGCAGGGACCGAACAACGGGAGCTCACCCCATTGCGGGGATTCAAACCGCCAACCATCTGATCAGCAAGTCCTAGGCTCTGTGGTTTAACCCACAGCGCCACCCGCGTCCCTTACAGCTACAGCCATCTCATTCTAGTTTGCGTAAACGGGTTTCTAGCCCAAGTACCTGTCAGGGAAATCAAGGGTCTGGAAAGGTTAACCTCTCTCAGAGCAGCCAGGGCTGCATCACTTGGGAAAATAATACTCTTTAGTATTTCGTATCCATCTCTTAATAAACAACACAATAGGGTGTCCTTTCAACCATCTTCAGATGATAGAGGGGAACTAAGTTTCAACCATTTATTTTATACACCTTTGATTTTCACAAATTTAAGCAGGTGTGTTAAGTCTAAGAGCTCCATTTTCAATAGCCTTTCCTAACTCAGAAAGCTGACATGCTTTTTCCACGGCAGAAGTTTGGTGGGTCAAAAGTGTCAGAGCCTCCCTTACTCCGATTCTGCATCTTCCTATAGGAATCCTGAAAATGAATCGTGCCTCTGAGGGCACCACACCTTCAGCAGTGTGTGGGAGAACAAAGAGGGAAGGGCAGGTCTCCTCCTTCCACCACTGAGATATATAAGAGAAAGAGAGCTCTATACAACTGCACAATTCCGGTTCTGATCAGAAACTTCCACATGCAGGTTAAGAAGTGGGAGGAAACATTAGGGGAAATGTCCCTAAATCAGGGCAGGCAGGTTGACAGACGCTTTCTGCACTGCTCTACCTTGCACTTTTGACTATGATGATATACCGAGGGATGTTCAGTGCAGGATCCTGCTTCCGCTCTGGTTGCTTGAATAGAAATGGGGAGACTTTTTCTATGTTTCCCTCCCTGCTGCCCAAGGGGTTTTTTTTTTCAGGCTAGAAGGAGAAAGATTATCCCCACCCCAGGCTAGGTGGGGATAATTTTAATTTTTTAGGACAGTAAGGGAGGTGTGTGAAAAGGGAAGCGCGTGCATAGGCTGCACCAACACTGTACAGTGGTGCCCCGCAAGACGAATGCCTCGCAAGACGGAAAACCCGCTAGACGAAGATACTCGCGGAACGGATTAATTTCGTCTTGCGAGGCACCACTGTATTTTGAAAGCACGCGGGCAGCAGCCCAGTCTTGGCCGCAAAGAATTCTGGGCATTGTAGTTTCCCTCTCGCAGAACTCCCATTCCCAGCAACGGACTCGGGCTGCTGGGCTCTCTCCGCCCCGTGGTCCCCGCTCCTCTCTCGGAGGAAGGGGAGCCGGAGGGGGCCCGGGAGGCGGGCAGGGGCGGCAGCGCGGGCTCCGTCTCCGGAGGCGAGAGACCAGGGACAGGACCCCCCCCCCAGAAGGGTCTGTTCTGCTGCTAACGGCCCCCCAGCGGCTGGATCCTTCCCTTTGCCTCTCGCGCTCCAGCTCTGCTTGGGCAAGGGGGGTCATAGAATCATAGACTCATAGAGTTGGAAGAGACCACAAGGGCCATCGAGTCCAACCCCCTGCCAAGCAGGAAACGCCATCAGAGCACTCCTGACATATGGTTGTCAAGCCTCTGCTTAAAGACCTCCAAAGAAGGAGACTCCACCACACTCCTTGGCAGCAAATTCCACTGTCGAACAGCTCTTACTGTCAGGAAGTTCTTCCTAATGTTTAGGTGGAATCTTCTTTCTTGTAGTTTGGATCCATTGCTCCGTGTCCGCTTCTCCGGAGCAGCAGAAAACAACCTTTCTCCCTCCTCTATGTGACATCCTTTTATATATTTGAACATGGCTATCCTATCACCCCTTAACCTCCTCTTCTCCAGGCTAAACATGCCCAGCTCCCTTAGCCGTTCCTCATAAGGCATCGTTTCCAGGCCTTTGACCATTTTGGTTGCCCTCCTCTGGACACGTTCCAGTTTGTCAGTGTCCTTCTTGAACTGTGGTGCCCAGAACTGGGTCTTCACTCCTCTAGCAAGGAGAGGCACCATGCTTTCCCCCCCGGTCCTGCGCTGGGGGGATGGAGGGGCTGCTTTCCTGGCAGAGAGCCCTGGTCCAGCCCCTGGGGTTGAGGGGGGCCCAAGCTCCCGTCTCCATCCCTGGAGGGGCATCGCTGCTGGGGGGGAGTGTAGTGGTTTGGCTCGGGAGAAGGCAGATTGGGAGGTGGGGGCAGCTCCGGATTCATGCTTGGGGAGGGGGCAGAGCTAAACTATCTGTGGCACAATTAGTTAGTTATTTACTTGATTTAGGGGGCACCTACCCCCCTGCACTGCTGGCTACACCCATACTTCTGCTTCTTTCTTCGCTGTGGCTTATAAGCTTAGTTACGAGGGGATATTTTGTAGATGCATTTTTGTAGATTCATACAGTCCGTATTTATTGTTAAGTTGTGGGCGAACATGTCAGACGACACAGCGATTCTTTAAGCAGCTCTTCTTTATTCAGATGCCAGAACAGAACTAAACTGAGGGGCTCAGTCAGCCTGCTTATATAGAGCTCCAGAACAATGTAACTGTTGCCATTTTCTAAAACTATCCAATCACTGAACGTCACTTTTCGATCCTTCATTTGCATACAAACTATCCAATCACTGAACATCACTTTTCGAGCCTTCATTTGCATAACTATCTACAGTATCCCCCTGCTGGCCCAGGGTGAGAACTTCAGTACATAACATTTATGATGGCCCCTGGGCCAGGGCTCTGTGGTTGTCTGCTTTCTGTGCAGAGAGCCTCAGGTTCAGCACCTGGGATTTAGACTGGGCCAAGCTCCTGTCTAAATCCCTGGAAAGCTATCGCGGCTGGGAAGTGTAGTGCTTTGACTCGGGAGAAGGCAGCTTGGTAGGTAAGGGGCAGAACCAAGCTATCTGGTTTTTTTTTTGGTTTTTTTAAAGATATTTATTAAAGTTTCAAAAAAAAGGATACATAGATAAGAAAAAGAAACATAAAAAAAGGAAAAATACAAAATACAAAAAGACAATTAAAAACAATTCCATCTTTTCATCACTTCTCTTTCATTTACTTGTTTCCCGGACCTCCTCATACCTCCCTTTTTTGTATTCCAGTTCCGTTTATTAGTCCAGCAATTCCTTTCCCTCCTTTTTAATCCTGATCTTTAATCTTAATATATTAAAGCATTAGTTTTTTACATATTAAAAGTCCAATTTTTCCATATTCTTTTATACCATTACAGCTAGAAACCACTTAACTTCAATCCAGCATCATTCTAACATTCATTAATTTTGCAATATTTCTGTAAGTAGTCTTTAAATTTCTTCCAATCTTCTTCCACCGACTCTTCTCCCTGGTCTCGGACTCTGCCAGTCATTTCCGCCAATTCCATGTAGTCCATCATTTTCATCTGCCATTCCTCCAGTGTGGGTAGGTCTTGTGTCTTCCAATGCTTTGCAATAAGTGTTCTTGCTGCTGTTGTAGCATACATAAAGAAAGTTCTATCCTTCTTTAACAGCGATTGGCCGACTATGCCCAGGAGGAAGGCCTCTGGTTTCTTCAAGAAGGTATATTTAAATACCTTTTTTTAATTCATTATAAATCATCTCCCAGAAAAAGAACCAAGCTATCTGTGGCGCGATTAGTCAATTAGCAAAGTATTTTTATTTATTTACTTGATTTAGGGAGGCAGCTACCCCCCTGCTTATTTCTTATTTCTTCACTGTGCCTTATAAGATTAGTTACTATGGGATATTCATGCATACCTGTAGATTCATATAATCCATATTTATGATGGCCAGTTTATAACCATAAGGCTAAAATAGAAGGGGGGGGACCCCAATAAGAGGCTGGGATAGTATGAATGACCACTGGCTGAAAACTGATTTCCTGAGGGTGAAATCCTAAACTGCACTTACCTGGGAGTAAGAGCCACTGCATTCAACAAGACTTGCTTCTGAGTATATAGGATTGTGCTGGATGCTACCGCAATACTAGTGGTAGAATTATTCTGAGATTATTCTCATCGTTTTATCTGGCATTCTTACATGTAATTACTTCTCCGTCCATTTACTTGGGAGTAAGCCCCATGGAATTCACAAGGACTTAGTTCTGAGTAGACATCATTAAGTTTATACTGTTAGTCACTTCTTTGCATTAAATAGTCCATAGCAGGTGAGACAGTTAAATCAAAAGCCGCTCCTCTGTTGACATGAATCCACAATTCTATACCCACTTATTTGGGAGTAACCCTCATTGAAGTCAACAGGGCTTACTTCTGAGTAGACATGCATAGGTTTGTGCTGTAAATAAGCCACACTTTCATAAATCAATGGGACTTAGCTAGCTGCGACTAACTGATTTCAACAGAACCAAGGTGTGGATAGCTTTCAGCACACACCAATACATGGTTCCATGTGCATTCACAGAATCATAGAATTGTAGAGTTAGAAGGGACCTAAGGGCCATCTAGTCCAACCCCTGAGGCACATTCTTTCCTTAAAGAATTCTGGGCACTGCAGTTCCTGAAGTGTTGCTGGGACTGGCAACTCTGTGAGGAGTGAACTACAGTGCCCAGAACTCTTTGGGGGAAAGAATGTACTTGAAAGGTGTAGGATGCGCATGTAAAGCCCATTGAAGTGAAGAGCATGGCATGAAAGGGGTTAACTCAGAAGTAAGTCCCCTTGGATGACATGCTTTTGTTTTTATATGCTCTGCCTACCAGGACAGTCCAAGCAGTCAGGCGAAGCCGACGACAGCCTGCGCTGCTCACTGAAAAGCTGTTTCTCAGAAGGTTGCCTTACCATGAGTGCTGTGTCCCAGAGCAGGCTGCAGTTGGGCCAATGTGCTCCCTTGCACCCCAGAGAAAGAGCCACACTCACTGGGGAAATGGCGAGGTTCTGTTCCGTGGTGGAGCTCTGCCCAGCGTTGGTAGAGAGCGATGGCAAACTCCGTGTTCAGGTTCTGTGGCTCGTTGTGTCAGTATCAAAGCTGTCCTGCCCCTGCTCTGCCTCCAGGTCTTCAAGGATTATGTCATCTAAATGGAAAAGAAGAGAAGGCTAGCAATTATATGTGTTTTAGGGACTGTCTTATACACTGAACATATATATGGAAATAGACATTACCTTCAGGATGACTTTCTTTCTCTTTCACCTGAGGCGGCAAGGAAGTACGTGGAGCCTACAGGGAAACAAAGAGCCCACATGGGATATGATTATCTAAACCTCAAAATAGGCCTCAGACAGAGACCTTTCCTAAGAAATCTTTTTTTTTTTATAATGATATTTATTAAAGTTTCAAAAAATACGTGAAAATACAGAATAAAGAAAAAAGTATAAGGTTTTAAGATATAACAAAAACGTAGAAAATAAGGAAAAACATACAAAATAAAACAGTTAAAAGCACAATAATTTTCCATAACCTATCTTCCTTGCTCTTATTTCCCGGACCTCCTCATACCTCCCTTCTTTGTATTCCAGTTCAGTTTGTTGGTTCAGCAAATCCTTACCATTAATCTTTTACCCAATTGTTAACCTTTTTTTTTTTATGTCTCTTAAAAGCATTACAGCTAAAAACCTCTTAGTTTCTATCTGACATCCTTCTAAAATTCCTTAATTTTACAATATTTCTGTAAATAGTCTTTAAATTTTTTCCAGTCTTCCTTCACCGACTCTTCTCCCTGGTCTCGGATTCTGCCAGTCATTTCTGCCAATTCCATGTAGTCAATCACCTTCATCTGCCATTCTTCCAAAGTGGGTAGATCTTGTGTCTTCCAATACTTTGCGATAAGTATTCTTGCTGCTGTTGTAGCATACATGAAAAAGGTTCTGTCCTTCTTTGGCACCAGTTGGCCGACAATGCCCAAAAGAAAGGCCTCTGGTTTCTTCAGAAAGGTATATTTAAATACCTTTTTCAGTTCATTATATATCATTTCCCAGAAAGCCTTGATCTTTGGGCACGTCCACCAAAGGTGAAAGAATGTACCTTCAGTTTCTTTACATTTCCAACATTTATTATCGGGCAAATGATAAATTTTTGCAAGCTTGACTGGGGTCATGTACCACCTGTATATCATTTTCATAATATTCTCTCTTAAGGCATTACATGCCGTAAACTTCATACCTGTGGTCCATAACTGTTCCCAGTCAGCGAACATAATATTATGTCCAACATCTTGTGCCCATTTAATCATAGCAGATTTCACCGTTTCATCCTGAGTATTCCATTTCAACAGCAAATTATACATTCTTGACAAATTTTTAGTTTTGGGTTCTAACAATTCTGTTTCTAATTTTGACTTTTCCACTTGGAAGCATATTTTCTTATCCAAATTATATGCCTCCATTATCTGATAGTAATGAAGCCAATCTCTCACTTTATTTTTAATTTTTCAAAACTCTGTAATCTCAATTTATCTCCTTCTTGCTCCAAAATTTCCCAATATGTCGGCCATTTGGCCTCCATATTGAGCCTTTTCAGAGCTTTTGCTTCCATTGGTGACAGCCACCTTGGGGTTTTATTTTCCAATAAATCTTTGTATCTTATCCAAACATTAAACAATGCTTTCCTAACAATATGGTTTTTGAATGCTTTGTGTGCTTTGACCTTATCATACCATAAGTATGCATGCCATCCAAATACATTGTTAAAACCTTCTAAATCCAAAATGTCTGTGTTTTCAAGAAGTAGCCATTCTTTCAGCCAGCAAAAAGCTGCTGATTCATAATAAAGTTTAAGGTCTGGCAGGGCAAATCCACCTCTTTCCTTGGCATCAGTTAATATCTTAAATTTTATTCTGGGCTTCTTGCCCTGCCAGACAAATCTAGAAATATCTCTCTGCCACTTCTTGAAACAGTCCATCTTATCTACAATTTGTAATGTCTGAAACAAAAACAACATTCTAGGCAATACATCCATCTTTATCACAGCAATACGGCCCAGCAGCGAGAGTTTCAAATTTGACCAAATTTCTAAATCTTTTTTCACTTCCGTCCAACATTTTTCGTAATTATCTTTAAATAAGTTCCCATTTTTGGCTGTCATATTAATCCCCAAGTATTTCACTTTCTTTACCACATTCAATCCTGTCTCATTCTGAAACCTCTCTCTTTCAATCGGTGTTAAGTTTTTCTCTAAAACCTTAGTTTTTGACTTGTTCAATTTAAAACCTGCCACCTGACCAAATTCCTGAATTAATTCTAAAACTCTTTTAGTACTAGATTCTGGCTCCTGTAGCGTCAATACTAGATCATCTGCAAATGCTCTCAGTTTGTACTGTTTAAGTCCGACCTGTATGCCCTTAACCAACCGGTCCTTTCTAATCATGTTTAGCAAAACCTCCAGGACCGATATAAAAAGCAGTGGGGAAATTGGGCACCCCTGTCGTGTCCCTTTTTCTATCTAAAATTCTTCCGTGACCACATTATTTACAATTAATTTAGCCTTTTGTTCAGAGTATATTGCACCTATACCATTTTCAAAGCCTTGGCCTACCCCCATCCCATGCAAGTTCTTCTCTTTCCTAAGAAATCTTAGGGACTGGAAGCAGCATCTATATGCTGAAAGGTTTTACCTTTGTGGTCCTTTGGAAAAGGGGCCGGAGGGGGAGGGGTGGGCGGGGGGGAGGATTCTGGGACAGGGCAAACTTTATTTTTTCTCGCCACCCTTGAAATAGCTCTTCGCAGCCTGGAAAGCCTAGAAAAGAAAGAGAAATGGGGCTTACAGTTAGTACTCTCTCATGCCTCTAAGCTCAAGAGGAATTCACTATCATCACAGAATGCAGATGCTGAGAGAAATCCTACTTACATGTCTATCTTCTTCCTGGAACAAACGTGAAATGATCCAACCACAGGAGTTCACCAGGCCTTTTTGCACTCTGGTGACCAGTGAGCCAGCAGAGGGAGGTGTCACAATGGCTTCTGTAAATCTGGGGCTGTCCCTTGAAAATAGGGACACTTGGCAGGTGTCCTGAGGTGCCCAGATGGGAGACCACCAGGGAACCCATGATATGGTGCTTAGAATTATACAGGCAAAAGAATTACTTAAATAAATACATCTCTAGACACACTGTCCTTTTGGTCTTTTCTCATGCAAGAATATTTCCCTAAGTCAGAAAGAGGCCTCCTGCTCATGAAAGTGCACCTTCGGGCCTGAGCCTCCTAAATAGCTCTACTTGGGAGTAACTTTTTCTGACCCCAGTGGAAATTGGGGATTGTGGTATGAGGAACAGGACACTGCTGTCAAGAAAGGGGAGAGCTAGCTTGACTCAAGTTTGCCCCGTGTCGGGGGGCTCAAAGAACAATCCCATGCTTGGGTGGTACATCAAGAAAGATTTTTAAAATGTGTGTGGCACGGTGAGGTGGAAGAAGATAAAATATATTGGAAAGGAAAGAGGACAACAACAACAAAAGAAAGTGTCCCCCTTTTGAATTTTTAAATTCAAAATTAAAACAAAACATATTATCCAAAAACATATCATCCTTGTTTCCCCCCCATTTTTCCTCCCTCCCCCCATCCTCCCACATAGCCCCCCCCCGACTTCCCTCAGTTCCAGTCTTTGGTTTCTCTAAGAATGCTGTTTTCTGCATGTTACAAAGTTGTATAGAACCTCAAACTATTTAGCTGATTATTATCAATAAAAAGTTTGTGAATGTTTATTCAAAACCAGCCAAGGAGTCCAGTTCACTTTGTTGCTTCTTCAGATACTTTGTAAAGGGTTCCCATTCATCCTTAAAGTCACAGTTATCCTTGTCCCGTAGCTTATATGTCAGTTTTGCCAGTTCTGCATAGTCCGTCAATTTTTCTTGCCACGATTCTTTAGTTGGGGTTTCTTCAGTCTTCCATCCTTGTGCTATTGGACTCTCGCGGCCGTTGTCGCATACATGAATATGTTTTTCAACTTTTTTGGCAGGTCTTTCCCTACAATCCCCAACAAAAATGCTTCAAGTTTTTTAAACAAATGTTAGATGAAACATTTTCTTTAATTCGTTGTATATCATTTCCCAAAAATTTTTAATTACATTACAATCCCACCGCATATGATAAAATGTCCCCTCCTTTTCCTTACACTTCCAACATATATTTGAACTAGTTTTATACATTTTCCCTAACTTCACTGGTGTCATGTACCATCTGTACATCATCTTCATATAATTTTCCTTCAATAGGGAACAATCTGTAAATTTTAAATCAGTTTTCCATAATTTTTCCCAATCTTCCATCATAATATTGTGACCTACATCTTGTGCCCATTTAATCATAACTGATTCTACCTCTTCATCTTTCGTCTCCCATTCTAATAGTATGCTGTATGCGGCCTTCAGTAATTTCACTTTCCCTTTGATCACCTCTGTCTTTTATGTCTGTAAGTATTTTATATTTTCTCCTTGGCCTTTTGCCCCCCCCCCCCAATAAATTTTGAAATCTCTTTCTGCCATTTTTTAAAACATTCATCTTTCAGGATGACTGGTATTGATTGAAAAAGAAATAGCATTTTTGGCAACACATTCATTTTAATCGCCGATATTTTTCCTTTTTTGGTGGGGTGGAAAGTGTGTTTTAAGTAATATATGGATGTATTTTAAAAATGGTAGTAATATTAATATTAATTAAAAATGGTAGTAATAATAATTAAGTAAATGGCTGAAGACTTAGGGAAGGGGGGAAGGGTTGATTTTTTAAAAGGGGGTTAAAATATATGAAAGGGGAGACGTTTATGTATCAAGTAATAGAAGATGGAGAGGATAATAATAATATAAAAATATTAAGGGAAAAATATAGTTTTTAAAAAAGGGGAGAGAAAATCAGAAGAAGTACCAACATTGAAAGATTGGCAAAATAAATTTTTTGAAATGATTGAATTAGCAAAAATGACGGCAACAGTTAGAATGCAATCTAATCAAAATCTCAAACAGGAAAGGAAATGTGTAGAAGAATACATGACCAAAAGATGCTCCAACAAGAATTTATTGATATGTATAGACTGATTTCACAAAGTTAAGTTACCGTATTTCCTAAAAAGTAAGGGGAAATGTGTGTGCGTCTTATGGAGCGAATGCAGGCTGCGCAGCTATCCCAGAAGCCAGAACAGAGAGAGGGATCGCTGCTTTCGCTACACAGCAATCCTTCCTGCTGTTCTGGCTTCTGAGATTCAGAATAATTTTTTTCCTTGTTTTCCTCCTCCAAAAACTAGGTGCGTCTTATGGTCTGGTGCGTCTTATAGAGCGAAAAATACGGTAAGCTAAGCTAAGCAGATATATAAGATTGAATATTTAATTATTAAGATACAAAATCACAATCTCAATAATAAAGTTACAAAATAATAACAAGAAAGTCACGTACAGGTGGAGGGAAGACGCAGAGTAAGAAATAAGAAATGGATAAATGTTGGTACATAAAGAAATGTGAAAATGTGAATTTACGAATATAATGTATACGTATCAATATGTAAAGATTTCATATATGTATTGCAACATTAATAATAAATAAATTAAGTGTGGGGGGGAATGAAGATGCTGTACTTGCAAAATCTCACCTGAACTCAAATGCAATGCTAGTTCTTTGAAAAAAAGAAAAGAAGGGGGGGGGGAGGAAGGATGGTGATGGATCTGCATTCCTAACCCTGGCAAGAAGACGCAGCTCACAATAAATGAGCTGGCAAGAATGGAAGTTGGAGAGCTGTGTTACAGCTTGCAGTTTGTTTGCAGTGAAAAAACTACAAGGCCAGTTCAGGTGTAACATTAAGCCAAACCATGGTTTATCTCCCACTACTGCAACAGCAGAGGGAAGAGGAGCAAAGTGGCTACTATCCTACATGGATCCCCTCACACATTCTCCTAATGGTGTCTGAATCCCTGTTGGATGAGTTGGCACAGACTTGTGAAATGAGTGCAGAGACTGAAACTGTCATATGAAAACTTTTATCTGCAGCGGTTGCAGTTGGTCCCCTAAGCTATCGAAGCCATCACTAGATATTGTGGTCATAAGCTAGTTTTTGAAAGCTGTAATGGGAAGACTTTGCCCTGAAAGGTTGGCAAAAAATACATTCACCCTCTGCACTCCCTTCATCAAGGTTAAGGTGAATATATGTGTAAGTAAAACCATATTATCTTAAAGACTCCAATGCGCCTCATTTTTCCAACGGAAACATGAACCCTGAATAAGGGCGAAGACTCCTGGAACCTCACACCACTTGGCAGAGATTGGGGTGGCCCTTAACAAGATGTTCTCTTCACATGTAAATGGTAGAGAAAGGGTTCTGTCTTATTTTCTGTTGTTCACCCTCCGGAGCAGATCTGTGGAGCAGGCACAAGGAGAGAAGCAGCAAGGGTTGTTCTGTACACAAACAGAAGTTCTAGTGCTAGTGGAGCTACTTCTCTGGACACCAGAGCTGACAACAAACTGGCAGTGCAATCCTATACATGTCTACTGAAATGTAAGGCTAGATGACCTCATTGTGACTTACTTCCAGGTAAGTAATTGTGTGTTGGATTACAGCCTAAATCAAGCATTTGACCAGGTGAGTGCAGATGCTACTTAGTAGTTTTCACTGAGGCCATGAAACCTTGAGCCATGGCTATCAAGGTTTGGGGATGGAGAAGGGAGAGAGCTTGAACGTTGAGACCTGCAGAATCATAAGCTTGAGAGTGTCCAGAACCATATTCACGATCACTTCCACCCATTTTGTCTTGTCTGAGAATCTGCTATTGAGCACAGAGTTTACACCAACAAGGGTATCAGGACTGGACAGCCTTCTCGCCCTCCCCACTTCTTACTACTCTAGGGATTGCTATTCTTGGGAATGTAAGGCGACCCCACCAACATTTTCTTTTGGATGCACACTTCAATTCACCTTTTACAATGTCAAGAAAATAACTCTACAGTGTTGAAGAGAGCATACCACAGGTATCAAGACTAGATGCTAGAAAGTGACTGATTTGTGGCTGAAACAAAATCCACTTTTGTTCTGACCCTTACCTGTCCTTCAGTCACAAATCCAGTGATATAAATTCACAAGCTGTTTCATGTTACTTTGGGTAACACATCACCTAATTGTGGAGAAAGGCTTGTGAATAAAATACCCACTTCTCTTTAAAAGGAAGACTGCTATGGCTTCTAAACTTTGAGTTATAGAGTATTCACTGGCTGTGGGTCTTGATGTTTTCATCTTGCACTGGTTTCATGAAGGATTGTGAACTCCTGAAAACCACACTGCTTTCCTCCTCCTCCTTTCAGGCATCCTGACAGTTCTGGGGAATTCGGCTGTCCTGACAGTAACTGTGAAGCGCTGCTCCCATCTCAGGGTCACCTGAGCTCCTGATGGTTAATTTGGCTGTAACCGATCTTGGAATGGCCTTTAGCATGTATCCCCTGGCTATCGCTTCTACCTGGAACCATGCCTGGTTGGGGAGCCATGCAACTTGCATTTATTATGCCCTGGTGGGTTTCCTTTTTGGTGTTGCCAGCATGATGACCTTGTCTGTGACGGCTGTAATCCGCTTTCCTGTAAGTCACTCATCAAAGTCCAATAGTGAGTAACAAAGCACAGAAGGGTGGCAAAGGTGAAACAGTTTCAAAGCTTTAGACTTCATGTCAAGGCCAATGGAATAGTATTTTAAAAACCTTTTCTGTGTGTTTATAGATCAGATATATTCAGCATTACTGCAGTAAACAATCAGGACGGATATACAGTCTGGCCGTAAATATGTTTTGGGCTGTAAATTGAAACATATAATATCATGTAGGAGTTGGCACTGTGGTGCTGGTGTGAAAAACACTGTTCTTGTTTACATTGGCTGTGTACATCTGCTATTAGCCAAAGATAGTTAACCACATCTGGTGACCGATGGAAATGTCCTAAGCTTCCCTGAGAATACTTTAAGGCGGCCTATAAATGTTGTCAGGCAATATACATGAAGGTATCACACTAGGCAAGTGTTCTAAAGTATGTCTATATAGCCATAACTCAAAGAATTATTCTTGTACATGATGTCTCCACAGCCCAAGCAAAGGGTCATGGCTTACAGAGCATACAGAAGATCCCATGCTCAATCCTTGCCATCTCCAAATAGAACCTGGGAAGCCTGAAAACCAGGAGAGCTGGACAACAGAGCTACAGGGATAATTGCCTGGCAGATTTCTATGTTATTTAAATAGTGTTGGTGTCTATAGTCTACTTTCTTTTCTTTTCCTAGGTCATACAATCAACAGAAAAGTCATCCATGTTTCTATTGCTTTAATCTGGCTGTTTCTATTGCCTTAATCTGGCTGTATTCAGCCCTCTGGGCCATGTTGCCTCTGCTAGGCAGAACCATTTGGCACTTCCTGCACCATAGCCTGGAGCCAGTCCCACAACTCGTCTCATGGGCTTTCCTTTATTCTGAGCATGTTCATTCTGTGTACCATTCTGCCAGCAATTACCATCATCTGTTACTTGGGTGTAGTCTGGTGGGTTCGTAAAACCTCTCATGAGATGCAGAACTTCAACAGGACTTCAAATGCAGCAAAGCTGGAGAAGAAATTGACATTGGTGGGTATGTCTTGTTGTGAGCAGAGTATTTTTGTATTTTAAAGAGCAATAGGAACACAGTGTTGCTTTGACTCAGACATTGATTGTGTCCCTATAGATTGAAAATTATTGTCAAAATATTGGGGAAATGCCAAAGCACTTATGGATGCTATGGACTGGGCTGTTTGTGTGTGTTTGCCTTCATGTATGGTTTGTGTTCCATTTGAGTTGCAGACATTGAGCAACTCCTCTGTTTTTCAGTTGTTAGATTCATTGGTATGAAAGCTTATTGTATTAATGCGAAATAATATTAATATTCAAAATATTTATACCCCACCCATCTGGTTGGGTTTTCGCAGCCACATACATACTGGGGGCTAACTTAATGATGAACCTGTATACTGTAAGACTCTCAGATCTTGCAATACATGGGCTCATAGAGCGTGTGGTGTACGTATTTCTTTTCTATGAGATGCTAAAGCTCTGGCATATTTTCTTCTATAGGACTATAATTTGAAACAGGTGACATTCCATTATGATGTAAAGCATCTGATAAACACAAAGGATGCTTATCCTGATCTTGTGTTATTTTTTTCCGCTAGAGGGCTGCTGTACTGCAGAGGATACTGCTTTTGGGTCTTAGGATAAAATGAATGGACAGCCTAAAATAAAAGCAAGAGCCAATTGTTTAAATATCTCTTAAATACTAAGGCACTAATCCTTCATTTTTCTCTCACCGATTCGAAATAACAGATAGAGAAGGAGAAAATATAAAAAGCCAGCCAGTAACTAATTATAAGTGGTTGTTTTTACAGATGGCTGTACTGATCAGTGTGGGATTCCTCAGCGCATGGACACCATATGCCACAGTCAGCTTCTGGTCAATATTTCACTCCAGTGAATCAATACCGCCCATCGTTACCTTGTTGCCATGTCTTTTTGCTAAATCCTCAACAGCCTACAACCCTTTTCATGTACTATACTTTCAGCAAAACTTAAGCGCCTCCAGTGCTGCTGTGGTCAGAAAGTTTACTTAGCACCTAGCATACCACCAATTGGCATGTGTCAGTGATTTGGTCAGGAAGGGATAACGCGCACATTTCTTCATTGGCCTCGGCCCATACTGGCCTCGGCCCAGTATACCTGAAGGAGCGTCTCCACCCCCATCGTTCTGCCCGGACGCTGAGGTCCAGCGCCGAGGGCCTTCTGGCGGTTCCCTCATTGCGAGAAGCAAAGCTACAGGGAACCAGGCAGAGGGCCTTCTTGGTAGTGGCGCCCGCCCTGTGGAACGCCCTCCCATCAGATGTCAAAGCAATAAATAACTACCTGACATTTAGAAGGCATCTTAAGGCAGCCCTGTTCAGGGAAGCTTTTAATCTGTGATATTTTACTGTATTTTTTGTTTCTATGGAAGCCGCCCAGAGTGGCTGGGGAAACCCAGCCAGATGGGCGGGGTACAAATAATAAATTATTATTATTATTATTATTTCTTCATTCAGAGAGACAGACAGTGGAGAAGTTCCAAATCCATCCGCTGCAGCTGCAGAAGTCTTATTTGAAAACGTTGCTCCAAAGTCCAGATCATGAAATCTCCCAGGGAAACACTGCAAGGGCAGTAATTCCTAGGAAGTTTATAATAAATAAGGGAGGAAGCTGGCAGGAAGAAGAAAGACCAAGGAAAACATGAAGGTAATGTCCATTTCCAAGGAGATGTTCAGGGTATATAAGAAAGTCCCTCAAACAGTTCTACTGTATATTTTCTCTGCATCTTGAGATTGTACTTACCGTTAGTTCGAATTTGGTTTCCTACAGGAAAGTTTGTGTGCTCACATGCTTAATGAGTGAAATAAAAATTGCCCTGTTTTCTCTGGAAATGGATCTATTGGTATGTCATTCTTAACTTTCATACTGTGTTTTACCCAGTAATTTCAGATTTTTTTCAAAAAACATTTGTGCACGGTATGTGCTTTCCGCCCCCTTAGTGGCTGATCTGGAAGAAGATGGCGGGAGAAAGAAAGAACAAAGGAAACATGAAGGTAATGTCTATTTCCAAGGATATGCTCAAGGTATATAAGAAAGTCCCTAAAACAGTTATGATTCCAACCTTCTCTTCTTTTCCATTTAGATGACATAATCCTTGAAGACCTGGAGGCAGAGCAGGGGCAGGACAGCTTTGATACTGACTCCATGAGCCACAGAACCTGAACACGGAGTTTGCCATCGCTCTTTACCAACGCTGGGCAGAGCTCCACCACGGAACGACCCTCGCCATTTCCCCAGTGAGCGTGGCTCTTTCTCTGGGTGCAAGGGAGCACATTGGCCCAACTGCAGCCTGCTCTGGGACACAGCACTCATGGTAAGGCAACCTTCTGAGAAACAGCTTTTCAGTGAGCAGCGCAGGCTGTCGTCGGCTTCGCCTGACAGCTTGGACTGTCCTGGTAGGCAGAGCATATAAAAACAAAAGCATGTCATCCAAGGGGACTTACTTCTGAGTTAACCCCCTTTCATGCCATGCTCTTCACTTCAATGGGCTTTACATGCGCATCCTACAGCTTTCAAGTACATTCTTTCCCCCAAAGAGTTCTGGGCACGGTAGTTCACTCCTCACAGAGTTGCCAGTCCCAGCAACACTCCAGGAACTGCAGTGTCCAGAATTCTTTAAGGAAAGAATGTGCCTCAGGGGTTGGACTAGATGGCCCTTAGGTCCCTTCTAACTCTACAATTCTATGATTCTGTGAATGCACATGGAACCATGTATTGGTGTGTGCTGAAAGCTATCCACACCTTGGTTCTGTTGAAATCAGTTAGTCACAGCTAGCTAAGTCCCATTGATTTATGAAAGTGTGGCTGATTTACAGCACAATCCTATGCATGTCTACTCAGAAGTAAGCCCTGTTGACTTCAATGAGGGTTACTCCCAAATAAGTGGGTACAGGATTGTGGATTCATATCAACAGAGGAGCAGCTTTTGATTTAACTGTCTCACCTGCTATGGACTATTTAATGCAAAAAAGTGACATGTCTACTCAGAACTATGTCCTTGTGAATTCCATGGGGCTTACTCCCAAGTAAATGGACAGAGAAGTAATTAAGACCCTTCAGCATATATGTTGATTTCAGAATAACATTAGTCCCTAAGGTCTCTCTGTAACTGTCTGAGGCCTATTTTGAGGTTTAGATACATAAACATATCCCGTGTGGCTCTTTGTTTCCCTGTGGGCTATGCAGACCTCCTCCCTTCCTCACATGGAGGAAGATGACCCAGGGCAACATGAAGGTAATGTCTTTTTCCATGTATATGTTGTTGTTGTTTAGTTGTTTAGTCGTGTCCGACTCTTCGTGACCCCATGGACCAGAGCACGCCAGGCACTCCTGTCTTACACTGCCTCCCGCAGTTTGGTCAGACTCATGTTTGTAGCTTCGAGAACACTGTCCAACTATCTCGTCCTCTGTCGTCCCCTTCTCCTTGTGCCCTCCATCTTTCCCAACATCAGGGTCTTTTCCAGGGAGTCTTCTCTTCTCAGGAGGTGGCCAAAGTATTGGAGCCTCAGCTTCAGGATCTGTCCTTCCAGTGAGCACTCAGGGCTGATTTCCTTCAGAATGGAGAGGTTTGATCTTCTTGCAGTCCATTGGACTCTCAAGAGTCTCCTCCAGCACCATAATTCAAAAGCATCAATTCTTCAGTGATCAGCCTTCTTTATGGTCCAGCTCTCACTTCCATATATCACTACTGGGGAAACCATAGCTTTAACTATACGGACCTTTGTCAGCAAGGTGATGTCTCTGCTTTTTAAGATGCTGTCTAGGTTTGTGCTTGCTTTTCTCCCAAGAAACAGATGTCTTTTAATTTCGTGGCTGCTGCCACCATCTGCAGTGATCATGGAGCCCAAGAAAGTAAAATCTCTCACTGCCTCCATTTCTTCCCCTTCTATTTGCCAGGAGGTGATGGGCCCAGTGGCCATGATCTTCGTTTTTTTGATGTTGAGCTTCAGACCATATTTTGCGCTCTCCTCTTTCACCCTCAATAAAAGGTTCTTTAATTCCTCCTCACTTTCTGCCATCAAGGCTCCATGTATATATTCAGTGTATATAAGAAAGTCTCTCCAAGTGCCAGCCTTTTCCTTTCAGAAGATCTAATTATAGAAGACATTGAGGAAGAGCAAGAAGAGACTGTGCGGCACTGAAGCAGCTCCTAGAGGGGATGATCAGCAAGACCAGGACCAAGTCTCAGATGTGTGCAATTCACCACTCTTTAAATACATGGACAAGGGTTATGCAAACTTGGCCACTCATTGGCTGTCCCAGGAGAAGGCATGAAGAAGAAAGGCCCAGTTACTCCACAGGGCGAAGCAGGTGGAGGAGCTTCCTGTGGCATTGAGGAAGATGATGACTATGCAAGTGGGCTGTTGTAACTCCAGCACAACTCGACTCTTAAAAAGCAACCTAGCTGTTTCTGGCCAATGAGCAATTCTGGAAGCTCCCTAATAATTGCCACCAGTTCACTGCAATCAGGAAATTGGAAACAGAACAATTTGTCTGCATCTGGGAAACTTGTAGAGAAAGCATGGCTGGAAAAATCTTTTTTAATAATTCCAGTGGCACCTTTAAGATCAACTAAATATAAGCTTTCAAGGTATGAGCTTTCGTGTGTAATACACACTTCATCAGATACTCTGAAGCAGAGGTCGGTTCAACCTTATAACTGTTGATGACTGTTATGGCAGTTGGTTCCACAGGGAAGGGCAAGGGATTTTTAAAGGGATAGACGACCAAAATTAGCTTTAGTATGTATAATGGGACATGAATCCAATATCTCTATTCAGACCTGGTCTCTCCATAGTTTTAGTTTGGTAATGAGTTGTAATTCAGCAACTTCTCTTTCAAGTGTATTTCTAAAATTCTTTTGCAATAAGACAGCTACTTTAAGATCTTGTATAGAATGTCCTCGGAGACTGAGGTGTTCTCCTATTGGTTTCTCTGTTTTATGATTCCTGATGTCAGATTTATGCCCATTTATCCAAAAGTTTGTCCTGTTTGTCCAATATAGAGAGCTGAAGGGCGCTGTTGGCATTTGATAACTTATATAATGTTGGAAGATGAACAATTAAATAGGCCTGAGGTGGTATGTTTGATGTTATTGGGGCCAATAATGATGCTGTCCGGGTGTCTGTGGCAGCAAAGTTGTCATCTAGATTTATTGCAGGCTCTTGTGGCAGTGTTCATGTTCAGTGGCGTAGGAAGAGGGGGCGGGGGGAGCGGAGTGCCCTGGGTGCCATCTCTGAAGGGGTGACGAGGGCACCCCGTGGGGATGCCATTGTGCCCATGCCCGCAGCCGTGGGCAAAGGATCCTCCGCACCACAGCGCCTCTTAGTCTCTCTCTCTCTCGTTCTCTTGCGCGCTACAAGTATAGGGCACATTTCTCTCCCCCTCCCACCTATCGGGGAGGAGGTGGGGGTGGCAACATTGCTGGCTCCCCCGCTCTGAATACTTGGGAGTCGTGGGGGGGGGGTTGGCATGCCATTGCCCCAGCTCCCGAGTCCTGGCTGGAGCCTGGAGGAGCAGGCAGGAGGTGGGGAGAGGACGAGTTGCTCGGCTTTGCCGGCAAAGCCGTGCAGCTCCCTCCCCCCCTTTCTTTTTGCTCGGCAAAACTTTGGAGTTCTCATTTTTCTTTCATTTTCTTTTTTGCAAAAGCGTGTGTGGTGTCTGAAGACTGGAAGCACCTGTAAGAGGGTTCAGGCGGGCACAGTTTTTTGCCTGTTGTTTGGATAGGTCAAGCATCACCAGTTTTACGTCTGTGAAATGAGCACTTTGTGGTGCCCATGACAATTTCTTAGATATAGGTTCCAGAAAGCTGAGGACCATGGACTATGGTAACTTATAGGTTAAATTACTGCAACTGGACTGCCTCTGAAGACTGGAAACTTCAGCTGGTGCAGAGTTCAGCAGCCAGGTTGCTCACCAGGGCAAGATGGTTTGATCATATTGTTAAGTTGTGGGTGAACATATCAGACGACACAGCAATTCCTCAAACAGCTCTTGTTTATTCACAGGCCAGAACAGAACTGAACTGAAGGGTTCAGCCAGCCTGCTTATATAGAGCTCCACTACAACGCAACAATAACCACTTTCTGTAACTATCCAATCACTGAACTATCCAATCAATCCCTTATTTGCATATGTGGACCTGAGTGAAAACTATCTACAGTATCCCCCTGCTAGACCAGGGTGAGAACTTCAGTACATAACATATATAATGCTGACCATATTGGCTACTACCAATTACCTTCCAGACCCAATTCAAAGTGCTGGTTTTGACCTATAAAGCCAACATCAAAGTTAGACTAAGTATTTAGGCCTCAGGGGGCCTTGTGTGCTGTGAATATGTTTTCACATCCTTTACGTTTGGAACATGAATAGCTAATGGCTGACAACAACAGCAGTGCCTGTATTTTTGTAATCTGAGTGAGCAGCTTGACTGCTCAAATATCTGGAGATTCATTTGTTTTTTAGGTAGCTGTGTTTTCAGATCAGCTGTGTATTCCAAAGAAGCTCAACAATTTTCCTAAAGAAAGCTCAACAACAAAAACTCCACAACTTTTGTCTGCCCCAGGTACTAGCAGGGATTGCTACACTGCTGGAAAGTGATCAATACCCAAAACCTCTTGGAAACACAGGACATGAAACAATTAAAATGACAGGTGTGGAAGAACATTCAAAATGTCATCAAAACAGTCATTATATAAGCGTGTGTGTGTGTGTGTGTGTGTGTGTGTGTGTGTAGAGCTAGGCAGCAATAAATCACAAGAAGTAAGTTAACTCTGTATTAGGAGAAACAAAGTCTGCTCAGAAGTGTCATTGCAAAGACTTAAAACTGAGAACCATTTGGCCCACCGAGTGAATCCTTCAGTTAATTCGTTCATAGTCTTACAATGTAGATTCTCCATATTATGAGCCTGAAGAAAAAGAATAATAAAAGCCACACCCAGATATTGTCCCTGGGCTAATGCATGAAAAAGCCTTTCTCTCCACCTTCATTCCCATAAGCTCTACATATCACTTTAAAGCATAGCTGTTTTTCACCTCTATCCCACCTGGTCATCAGAACAACTGATGTTTAAGAATTGGTGCCTGAGCTTGCTTTTAAGGCCCTCCTCTTCCCTTCTTCCTTGTGTGTCATGTCTTTTTAGAGGGACTGTCCTCCTGCTGCTCTTTGTAAGCCAGTACGGGAGCTTTTTCAGCTAAAGAGTGAAGTACCAGTAGAATACTCTTCTACAATATTTGAACTAGAAAGATGGGTTGGGTGCATACCAGATTTTAAGAATTTGTTGTGCTCCATTTGGAAATCTTTTCATTGGACAGGATGCTTACCTTTTAGTCAACTGCAGCTTTAAACTGTAGCATGTACCAGAAAGCCAAATTTATTTCCCCACTCCTCCTGATAAATAAGAATACGCCTCAGATAAGGAATAGCAAGTGAATTGTTCAGCTAAATGAAAAATAACTTGTGAATTTCAATCCTTTCCCCATTATTTTGACCAGTTACAATAGCAGTCCAGCTGGCAGGAAACTCTAAAAAAAAAAAAACAAAAAAACCACACACACAGAAAACACGACCTGCCATACAAACTAGCATATTTGTTGTATGAAGCAACGTGTACACAGGATCAGTGCTGAAAAGAGTGTAATTTTTAGCAGAGCAGCTAGATAACATGGGTTGCTTGGGGTTTCTGTTTGCAGAAAAAATTAGGCATGCCTTTCTTACGCCATACAGCTTTTCTTCTCACAAAGAATGGCTGATGTAGGACAGAGCACACAAATTATAATGGTCCTGTAAAGAAGAATTATCAAGAGTGATAAAAGAAATGCAGATGTTCTATATCTGTCCTTGACTGCATCTGATGGTTAAATAAGTAGAAGGCAGCTTGCATAACCAACCTTTCTCCTCTCTGCAGAGGGTCATCGGAATTGCAATGCAATGGGGAAATCATCTAAAATTGGGTGGAGGGATCTTGCATATGATCAGTTTGACCCCATACCCCAAGACTGCAGCTCTATGCAACACAGCCCATGCCAACCTTGGGGGTTGGAGAGAAAGCAGGGCTTTTCTCACCGGGAATTCACAGGACCTTAGTTCCGACACCTCTCAGGTGGGCGCCAGTGCCATTCTAAGAGAGGAATTCTGACACCTCTTTTTCTAGAAAAACAACACAGATTACATATCTGTCCCAACTTAAGGCTGCATATATCTCCCCCTTCATGTGTTATCCTCACAAAAACCCTGTGAGGTAGTTTAGGCTAGGAGTCAGTGACTGGTAAAGGGTGACCCCGTGGGCTTCACTGCTGAGTGAGGACTTGAACTCTGGTCTCCCAAGTGGTACAGTGGTGCCCCGCAAGACGAATGCCTCGCAAGACGGAAAACCCGCTAGACGAAAGGGTTTTCCGTTTTTGAGTTGCTTCGCAGGACGAATTTCCCTATGGGCTTGCTTCGCAAGACGAAAATGTCTTGCGAGTCTAGAGATTTTTGTTTCGCTTTCCCCCCCCGTTATCTAATCTGCTAAGCCTTTAATAGCCTTTAATAGCCTTTTAGCAGCTAATCCGCTAAGCCTTTAAGCCTTTAATAGCCGCTAAACCGCTAATAGCGCTAATCCGTTAAGCCGCTAATAGGGTTGCTTCGCAAGACGAAAAAACCGCTAGACGAAGACTCTCGCGGAACGGATTAATTTCGTCTTGCGAGGCACCACTGTATTCTGATACTCTAACCACTGTACAACACTGGCTTAGTTTCTCAAGGCGCTTTCCATTTGGGCAGCCATTAGATGCCACCCTGCCTTGAGGGCTGAGCTTATGGCTGAGCTAGAGAGATTTATTTTAGTAATGTTTATGGAGAACCCTGCCATAGATATTTCCAGACTGCAAAACAAATACAAATATTCAGATTCTCTGCCTGTTTATCAAATAGGTTTTACAGTGCTCCAGTTCACATCTCAGTCACAGCGAAAGCTTCTATATTTTGATCCATGCCATCAGGCTACTCCTTCAAGCAGTAGCCATTCCATCATGCTGGAGGGAGAGAAGGAACTGCAGAGCCCCTCTATTAACTAGGCTGACAGACCAGAGATTTTGCCTCATTCTCTTCTCAAACTGTTTCCATTCAGACTTCTTGTTTGAAGAACTAGTGGCTACGTTCGCATTTTTCCTCTTCCCTACTGTGGTGTTTGCCTCCTAGGTGGGTCATAAGGAAAGGGTTAAATGAGTGTGAAGTGATTGGCCAGTGGGAACCCAAGGGGATGAGTTAGAGTTAGAGTTGGAGTTGTGTGGAAGTCAGCTGGGAGTTGGAGAAGGAAGAGGGAGGATAAATCTGTGGGTTGGTCGAGTTTTGATGTGAGAGAAACTAATAGGAGGAGTCAGATAGACAGTTGGGATAATCAATTAGCAGTTATTAGGAAGTATAGGCCGGTATAGAAACTAAGGATAAGAAACGGACAAGAAAAATTAACTGAAACCATAAACTTGTTCATGCTTATAAAATAAACTTGATTATTTGTTTTAATGTTAATAAACTGTCTGGACTCAGTGTGTACCCGAGAGAAACGGGTTGGTGGCAGCAGGGAAGTGGTGGCACAGGGATCAATAGACCGTCAAACGTCCGGGGACCCTGTGTGATCGCCACACCTACCAATCCATTTTCCTTTTGTATCCTGTCGTTGAGATTGTCAGGACAACAGCAGAGACCATCTTACTATTGATATTTGTAAGCTGCTCTCGGGGGGGGGGGGGGAATTCCAGTAGCTCCTCAGAGACCAACTAAGTTTGCTCTGGGTATAAGCTTTCATGTGCATGCACACTTCTTCAGATATCTGAAGTATTTGAAGAAGTGTGCATGCACACGAAAGCTTATACCCAGAACAAACTTAGCTGGTCTCTAAGGTGCTACTGGACATATTTTATATTTTTTTTGACTGCGTCAGACCAACATGGCTACCTACCTGAATCTGTAAGCTGCTCTGGTAGTCATCTTTGATTTTTATTTTCTGACAAAATGTGCAGTTGTGGAACTATTGAAACACAATAATAAAGAACAAAAATTGAGGATTATACTTCTTGACTACACTTCTTGTGTATAGCTGCCTCTCTTGGTTAGCAAGTGTTTACATGCAAATTTAGAAAACGTTTATTGTTTCTATTCATATTCCATTTTATTGTCAGACATCAATTGCTTAAATTACTCCTAAATGGAAATTTAAGGGTGAACAAATCTTATACAATTTCAACAATTCTCAAATGCTTCTTTTGAATTGGTAATAAATGGTATCATTTGCCACCAAGCATAAAACATCTGTCTGTTAATCCCCTACACAACTCTTCACAATTAACTCTTACAAGACCAGCAGCACACTGGTTTCTACATCTTTTCTAAAGAAATCTGAGCTCTTCTAAATAAGACAAGAGTCGTTTTTGTGTGTGTAACTTTGCTGGGTACAAACTTTAAGGAGGATCCCCTGATCAGAAGAAACTTGTGAGCCAGTAGGACAGCAACCTTCAGAATTTTCATATCTCCCACAAATGATAAATTCATTGTTGTGGGTTTTAGAATATACAGTGTTCTAAAATCAGTATTGGTTGCACTGGCAGGGCAAATCTAGTTATCCAGGATTTCCGTCACAACAATTCAATTTTTGCAAAGTTCAATTATGCTTTACTTACAAATTGGCTATAGGCCATTACAGTTCAAACATACAATACATAACATGATAATCCATATCTTACAAAGTGATACAATGGGTAAATGTTGGATCAACGTAATTAGTTATCAGAGCACTTAGGGTAGAAACTCTCAGAAGATTTCAATGAAAGCAGCATGAAATTTAGATTAATATATATTCTGTAATGCATCTTAACAAAAAGTCATTCTTTTCAAAATCTAACCAATTTCCCTTAGCCAACAAAAGCTGCGAGATAAGTACTGACTGACGTGATTCGGTAGCTTTTGTAACGTGGTTATGCATATCTAATACTTTTCAAGATTTTTTTTGTGTGGAGTAGACTTTTGGAGCCAAACTATATCATAATTTGTCAGATCCTTGTACGCTCAAAACTTCCCAATTCAATGTTTCTATATGATGGTGTTAGGCAATCTTGTTTCAAATCCCTTGTGTACATTTTTTTTCAATCAAAAAGCCATTCTTGGAACATAGTCAATAATACCATTAGAGATTTCAAAGGGGGGGGGGGGAATTTGACAAACCAGTATTTCCACTGTAACTAGCCTGCCCAGTGTTCATGTTTTCCTAAGTGGCTCTGTCGTCTTATATTGTCTTAAACACTGAATATTTGAGAGCACTGCCAAATGTTTATTGCATGATGTAGTAGTAAAGGTAAAGGGACCCCTGACTGTTAGGTCCAGTCGCAGACGACTCTGGGGTTGCGGCGCTCATCTCGCTTTATTGGCCGAGGGAGCCGGCATACAGCTTCCGGGTCATGTGGCCAGCGTGACTAAGCCGCTTCTGGAGAACCAGAGCAGCGCACGGAAACGCCGTTTACCTTCCCGCCGGAGCAGTACCTATTTATCTACTTGCACTTTGATGTGCTTTTGAACTGCTAGGTTGGCAGGAGCAGGGACCGAGCAACGGGAGCTCACCCCATCGTGGGGATTTGAACCACCGACCTTCTGACCACAGCACCACCCACGTCCCAATGTAGTAGTAGTAAGAAGCAAAAAAAGCACTCACTCACAGCTGATAATAGTTCTTCACTTTGTTCTAGTGTGTCCAAGGAAAATAGTCCACATCCATTTGCACCTCAGTCACAGAAACACAGTCCTCTTAAGATTTTCAGTAACATCTAAACATTCTTCTTTCAGGTAAGTGATTGTGTCCTCTGCAAACAACTTTGAAACAACACTGACCAATAGCCCTTTATAGATGTTTTCCAATAGCCCTTTATAGATGTTTTCCTTGAATTTCTGGATTGAACTTGCCATTTCTCAATCAGGCATAAAGTCAGTGAAAGGGTGCTGTCAGCCCCTTTTAGCTAAATAGCAGCAAAGTAGCTTGGCATCTTTATTTATTTGTTTGTTTTACAGATAAAGAAGAAGAAAATGCATTGTGAACAAACAAGCAGCATCAGCAGTAGTCGTAAAATAAGTCACAAGCAAAAAGATATAAACAATTGTTCTCTAAATTGTTTCTAATAACATAAAGGGTGAATGTTTTCTTGTGTTGTTTTATACTTAACCAAAATGCTCCATTTTTAAATGAATAAATTATCAAGTTGCCTTCCTTCCTTCACTCGTACACTATTAGTCAATATTAGTCAACTTTGAGAGTTGAGTCCAACTTACCGGTGCTTAGGGTAGACTTACTGATATCAATGGACTTAAGTTAGCCATGCCAATTGATTTTAATGGGTCTACTCTGAGTATAACTTAAGTGGGCTACATCTAGTCTCCTAGATGAATAAATGTCCATCCCCACAACATATTCCTGTACTACTAGCTATTAACTGACGTTTTGTCAATTTGACATCTCCTGGTAAAACCAGATCCTTAAAATTTCCAAATAACATCGTTAATGGTTCATCATTTATATTTCCACAAAATTTCACTATCTTAAGAACATGACCAAAATATGGGCCAATACGTTTTAGCTAAAATGGTGGCAAATAGCTTGGCAATTTAAAAGGGCAATTGACCTGTATGATCAGAGGGATATGGTGTCTTCTGCAAAAATACCGTGTCAGCTTTCTCCTTTTGTAATATTCGAGCTACCCTTCTTCTATTAGTTAGGTTGCCAAGTTATTTTATGTTTGGACTGATAGCATTTCCCATTTCAAAAGGTGACAAGATTTGCCCCCATGCCATTTATGCCCAAAACCATCATGCATCATGTTACTATGGATTCCTGCCTATGTGTTTGTTTTACAATTAAGCCTTCATCGGAAGATAGCACAAAAACAGTCAAGGTCCATGCAGGAAGGTTATTACCCATTACTCACATTTTGAGTGAAATGAACCTGCTCCCAATATACCAGGCTTTTTAGCTCATTCCCAATCTTTCTATGTAATGGACAGCAAGGCAAATTGATGAAAGCAACTTGCCTAGTTAAACCGTGTTTCATTAAAGCTCTTAAAAGGGAGCGGTGTAAGAATTAAGAATAATAACAACAATAGTAAGTTTTTTGTGGTTTCACATCATTGAGTTTGCATTTATTCAGCTGCAGTCATCTGCCCCCGTTCTTGTGGGTGACACAGGCAAGAACTAAACTTCAAAACTCTGCTTTAAGTGTGTCTCAAATAAGAAGCCGTATAAGATATGACAAGGGAGCTAAGTCATTGATTTGAAGGTTTAGCAGCTGCTAAACCTTCATTTTCATAATATTTATATCTTACCTTTCGCCCAGCACATAACTAGGGATGGACCAATCTGACAAATTTGATTCCTCTCAGTTTCTCACTTTTCCAGCCTGAAGTTGAGTTCTCCACATTTCTACACCAATTTGTGACATCTTAGTGCCAATTTCTCCTATAGGCGCATTTTCAAAAAAACAATTTCCCCATATACAATGCACTTTAGTATGCAATTTCCCCAAATATTTGAATGCTTATGTACACTTCACCCTAGGATACACATTTTTATACACTTTACCTGACTGGTAAGTATTGCAACATCGGAAGAATGTGACTACTGAAGAATGGTTGTGTTTTGGTTCGTGTAGCAGAAACAATAGAAAGTATGGTTTTGTGAAGTTTGAATGCAAACTCAATAGAATTTCTCTCCAAATCCTACATATAACACATGGCAACATACGTGTCAGTTGGTAGAGCAAGAGACTCTTAATCTCAAGGTCCTGGGTTCGAGCCCCATGTTGGGCAAAAAGATTCCTGCATTGCACAGGGTTGGACTAAATGACCCTCGACATCCCTTCCAACCCTACAATTCTGTCATTCCATGAGATTCTCAGGTGGCCAGCCATTCGAGTGCTGACAGGATCCAGACCATAGCTGTCAACTTTTCCCTTTTCTTGCGAGGAATCCTATTCAGAATAAGGGAATTTCCCTTTAAAAAAGGAAAACGTTGACAGCTATGATCCAGACCTGCTTTGCAGTAGCAAAGTACTGGCCATGCTCTAGGACAGATAAACTTTTATCATTTTCTTGCCTGGAATCTAACACTTCACTAACATCTCAGAGCATTCCCATGATCAGATGGAACTACAAGTAATGTTGATTTACAAATCTAAACATTTAGTGGCAAAATTGTGGAAACAGATTTACAATTAGCATATCAGAAACTCTCTAATTTCTGCAGGATGTGTCTTAAAATAGAAACTGTGACAATGTGAAAAGCAATTAAAATGGTCCTGATTCACTTCGATATCAGCTAACAAAACCTAAAAGCAGTAGCTCTGCAACTGTTCCAACAAAATATCTGTCTGGTACAAGGCCTATTTTACCAAATGAATCACTACAGCAACTTACTGCAACGCAATATAAAGCTCCACAAATATTATACTAAGATGATGGAGTGATCCAGATAGTAAATTAGGCAACTTAGCTACCTTACGAGACAATCTGTCCATTTCACCCAATGCTGTCTCACATACAACTGGCAGTCAGTCTCAAGGCAGAGGTTGTTCATGCCCTCGCTCCTTGACTTCCTTCTTAACTGGGGATGTCAGACCTAAAACCTGAGGCCTTCTGCATGCACAGAACGTGCCGTAATATTGAACTATGGCCTTTTTCAATGATGCGGCTAGGTAAACAAGCCTTGAGGAACGTCAAGTATGCACACACCATTTTTGCATTCTCCAATTCCCACCCCCCACCCAACATCTTAAATTTGAATGAATCACAACTTGCCATTTGGACTGACCAGAGAAATTATGGTTTGCCCTTGGTTTACAAGGCAAAAGACAAAGTTATGGTTTACAGGGCAAAAGACAAAGTATAGTTTGCTGGTAAATTGGGGGGCATTTGTGGCATTGTTCTTGTACCCGCGGTCATGGTCTGGGTTTTGCCTGCATCATCCTATGGATAAATTCCACAAAATGGCGTCCTCCCACCAGGGAAGAAGGGGTGAGCAAAGATCTACCTCAGGAACAAGGATGGGGGGTGGGATCAAATCAACCTTACCCGATGGTTGAAGTGGGAATCAAAGGCCGTTGTGGGAGAAAAGGGACCTGCTCTGAATCATGCTGGGGGGGTGCAGAGCCCTGGAGACCCCAGAGAGCAGCCCTCGCCATTTCCTCGCTGGGGTGGGAGAAAATCAGCAGCACCTCCTATTTGCTGAGAAGAGATGGCATGGGAGGGGGCGATGCTGAGGAGATGGCAGCAGCTGCAGGCAACACATTCCTTGGAGGCTGGATTTGCTGCCCCTCTGGATCCTGCCACCTGAGGCAGTCACCTCACCTTGCCTCGTGGGTGGGCCGGCCCTGTGGAAAGCTAACCATGAGCTACCCTTATTTTCACAAATCTGATTTAAAGTATATCAATGAAAGCAATGGAAATGAAGTCCCCAAAGATCCATTTTTTAAACCAGGGGTCAGCAAACCTTTTCAGCAGGGGGCCGGTCCACTGTCCTGCAGACCTTGTGGGGGGCCGGACTATATTTTTTTGGGGGGAGGGATGAACAAATTCCTATGCCCCACAAATAACCCAGAGATGCATTTTAAATAAAAGCACACATTCTACTCATGTAAAAACACGCTGATTCCCAGACCATCCGCGGGCCGGATTTAGAAGGTGATTGGCCAGCTCCAGCCCCTGGGCCTTAGTTTGCCTACCCATGTTTTAAACTACCCACTTGTCTCTGGGTAGCTCACAGTTTCTCTAGTAATAGTAGAAGCCCTTTCTGCAGACTTGGGAGACACTAGTAGCTTATAAAGTGCTGCCCTGTATTTCTTCGAGATGAGGTTGTAAAGGATTGGGTTGATACTTGCACTCAAGTAGAAGAGCGGCAATGCAAAAATATTGAAATACTGGGAGAAAAGCATCATCCTGGTATCCTTTGAGTGGGTGTATATTATCCTCCCGACGTGGAATGGCAGCCAGCATACGACAAAAGCCAGGACCACCACAACTGCAAGAGGAGGGGGGAAAGGAGGAAAGAATTACTCTCTGCCCTGCCACAGCTGACTCTAGCCCTAATGGGCTTGCTCAAAGTAGGTGAGAAGTACGCTTGTTTTCAAATATTTGGATTGCTCTTTGGCACACAGAATGCAGTTGCTGAACAGGGCTAGAATCGTCCAGCAAGGCAGGAAAGCACAATTTTCGGAATCAGATCAGGGCTAATTTGTGTGGGAAGTTACTTGCTACTGGTGCCTGCAATATACAGTGCTACCTCGGGTTAAGTACTTAATTTGTTCCGGAGGTCCGTTCTTAACCTGAAACTGTTCTTAACCTGAAGCACCGCTTTAGCTAATGGGGCCTCCCGCTGCTGCCATGCCGCTGGAGCACAATATCTGTTCTTAACCTGAAGCAAAGTTCTTAACCCGAGGTACTATTTCTGGATTAGCGGAGTCTGTAACCTGAAGCGTATGTAACCTGAAGCGTCTGTAACCCGAGGTACCACTGTAATTGGCATCAGCAGTATGTAAGCAAATTACAAATTACAGAGAGAGAGTTGGAGGCAATGAAGTTGTCCCATTGACATAAGCACTTCTGCGTGCACAGTGAAAGTTCCCCTTCCTCTTTTCTCCCTAGGGAGGATTGGGAGAACCCCCAGAATAGATCTGGGAGGTGACTGGGGGAGTGGAGGGAGGGGAAGTTTAATTGTGGGAATCCTTGCGGGATTGGGTACAGCCCACAAGCTGTAAATAGGTGGACAGGTATCTTCGGAGATGGGTGCTTTAGTCTCCCCACTATTATTTATGGGATTTTTTTATTTATTGAATTTATATTTCCATAATTCCTCCTGAAAGATTTGGTTGGTATCATGAAAAGAGATTACTTTTTAAATAGGTTGCAAATTAGTCAATAGTTAAAGGACTTGAAGGTGATTCTGCAAACAAAATCAGACAGTGTCAGATGGCTAGTGGTTGTCTGCTTCCGGACATGCTCCACTTTCCCCAGCTGAGGCTTCAAAGAGAGGCAATTCCGTGCAATGAAGCAGACAGGCAACACTTTAGTTTTAGAGGCTGTTTGCTGTTGGTAAGAAGCTGGGGATCTATGTTTTATTATTGCATTTATTACATTTTTGTATTGCATTAGATTGTTATAAGGTGTACATCATTTGTTTCTTCAGCTTGTAAACTGCCTTGAGTATTGTAAGATAGAAAGACTGTATATAAATTAAAAGTGTTGAGCAGGACCATGCTAGGTGATCTTGCACCCCTGGCAGAACCGCGCAGCTTGCGCCCCATAGCCACGGACAAATTAGCTCTTCTTTCTGCCTCTCCTCCACCCCCTCCCATTCAATTCACCCTCTATTTAAAACCATTTCTTATGAGGCAACAATCAATATTTATATTTATGGACATATTTTAAAGCTGATTTTGCACACACACCCATCGCCTGCACCCCGGCGGGGGCCCACCTCACCACCCCCTAGCTACGGCCCTGCCAGGGAGTGGGGTCAAGTACATGCTTCAGAGGAACTGATGCAGCTTGAGAGACAGGTATCATCTACTTGTCTGCTCTCTGTATTCAACTTTTATGCTTGTAATCAGTTACTACCAAAAAAAAAAAAACCCCAATCAAACCACACCAGTTTTCTCTGATTATTAAGATAAATGTCACTTCCACTTGAGATAGAGAAGATGTCTGGCAAAAGCTTTGTGTGTGCCATGGGACATTACTTCAGTGCATGGGGCTGCTTGTGTGAATCTCTTTAGAGTTTACAACAAAAGGCTTTTCTCCAGGGCTGTGGGTGAGTCTTTATTTTCTAGGAACTTCAGCGCGGCACTCTGAGCCATGCAACAGCTTCTTGCTAAACACTCATTCACACACTTGGCTGGTGACCGTGGCAGGGTGCCCTGAGATGCTCTAGGCACTCTTTTGGGTGGAGGCATCCTTGTCCATTTACTTTTGGGGTCCATAAAGAATCAGGATAGCTCTACTGCATTCTATGAGCATAGGGGAAATTCCATGGAGACTTGGACATGGAGGCACTACGGCATTGTTCTCCCCACACCCTCCAGACTGCATAATGCCCCCCCCAATACTCACCCAACATGCGCACTGTTTGCTGGTGGTTTCGGTATGACGCCCCGCCAAGATGTGTCTTGTTGACCCGCAGAAGCTCCCTGACAATCAAACTGTAGAGGATGTAGAGGCAAAGGAAGGGCAACACAAAGTAGCTGGTGGTGACCCAGAGCATGGTACCCAGCAGCCCTGTCTGTTGGGCATGGTCTGTGGGGGCACACTCATACCTGGCATCGATGTCGCTGGAGACGTTGCCAACCCGTCGAACTCCCACGAGGAATAAAAAAGGCGCAGCGGTGAGCAGCGCTATGGCCCAGAGTCCCACCAGCAGAGCTTTGACACGCCGTTGGGTCACCAGGACTTTGGCCCGCAATGGGAAACAAATGGCAATGTAGCGCTCAGCTGTCAGGGCCGTCAGGTGCAGGATGGAGCAGTAGGCGCACGCCTCGCCGGACCAGTGCCACACATGGCACAGCAGTGTACCTAGCGCCCATGACTGCGCGTGCCACAGGCGGTACAGGTCCAGGGGCAGACCAAGTAGCAGCAGCAGCAGGTCAGAGACAGCCAAGCTGGCTAAGTAGAGGCTTGTGGTGTTGCGGAGATCCCGGGAGCAACCTGTCACAACCATGGTCAGGACATTGCCTGTTACGCCAAGAACCAGCAGCGCCAAACATATGGCTGTCACTGGGATGAGAGTGTGCATGGGCAGCAGTGGGCACAGGGACTTGCTGCATACCTCTGTATTCTGTTCTTGGTGTCCGGCAGGACTGCTGATGTTGGCTGAGACCATGTTGCAGGCAGCTCTCGATTTGCCTCTCTACAGAGCATCCGGAGGAAATGCAAGCATGGCAGAACGCTCAGATGGTGTCAGCACTTCATCCTTTTCTTGGTCTGGTTTCTGTCTGATGCTTTCTCCACGCTCTGCAAAATCTCTGGAGCAGCTTAGCTTTTCCTTGCGCAGGGAAATAAAGCGTCTGCGCTCCAAGCGTAGATTGATAGATACTCAAACAAACTCCTCCCAAATAAGCAGCAAATGGAAAATCATTGCTTTTTCACCTGTTCTTTATTCTTTCATGTCTTAGCAACAGGTGGGGCTATTGAGAAGCTGTTAGAAATCCCTCTCAAAGCCACTGAGTTGCAGAGGAAATAGAAACCATGTACAATATAAGTACCCAAAACAAAAAAGGGCTAACAGAATTATTACAGCACGTCTTGGTTAGCTAGAGTCCACTGCATCAGATGTATATTGCTTTTTGTGGCAGTACTCATTGGTATTGTGAGAAGTTGGGGTTCGACTAAATGGGTTTTTTGGGATTGCCTCCAAATCTGCGGTTTTATAGCTGTAGGATTTGAGTCTGCAGAAAAAGGGGACTGCCAAAATAGTCAAACCACAGAATCATAGAATTGGGACCACGAGGGTCATCTAGTCCAATTCCCTGCAATACAGGAATCTCAGCTAAAGCATAAATGACCAACGACCATCCAACCTCTGCTTAAAAACCTCCAAGGAAGGTTTTTAAGGAGGTTTCTTTGTTAAATAAGTGTTCCTAGCCAAGTCTATTAAGTAGTTGCTGTATGTACAATTGGAAGGTGAATTGTAGGCAGCATGTCTTCACACATGTCCATGCCTGGCTGGAAGTGATGGCATAAAGGTGTGTGCCTATAAAAAAAGGAAACACAAGACAGTCGTTCTTGGGAAAGGGGATGGAAAGACAGAAGGGCCTGATTTGCTTCCTGAGAGAATTCAAAGCTATGTAACTTGATGGAGTTCAGTCTCGGGGTGGATAGGAAGTAAATGATCTGGAAGAAGACCTGTGCCAAAGAAGCCTTGAAAACTTGCTACAGAACCAAGTTCTAGAAAAAGTACAAGATGACTGGAATGGATTGTTAGAGCATCTTCTTCATAAACGACACCTGTCAGCATTCAGGTATCAGATGGAGACATGGTTGAAGATAACTTGCTATTAAAGACAAATCTATCAAATACACACTTTCTGAAACAAGGTGATAACTGAAACACAGCCATCCTTAGACGTTAGCATTTATCCAACCAATGTTTACCCCCCAAAAAAGCATATATCAGGAGAAAGAGTGCATAAAAATGAATACATTGGTGAAATGACATACAAAAATTCATGAGAAAAATTGCTTGCAAAAATGTGTACATTAGTCAAAACTGCACCTAAAAATGTCTTTATTAGGAGAAGTTTATTTGGAGAAGTTTGCATTAAAATGCTGAAGCTTCATGAGGATTTTTTTAAAACTGTAAATCAATGTAAGCAATGTGAACTGCATTTAAGAACAGAAAACACAAGAGATTGAGACAACTGCAACTGTCAGATCCATCCCTGGACTCCTCAATCCAAACCTTCGAAAACTTGGTTTAAGAAGTCTTTGCATAGGTTCCTCTCCTCCCCTCTGCTCCGTTTAAACTCAGTGGTACATTCTCTTGATGTAAATTAGTCAGTTTCCCAACCTGATGCTCTCCAGCTGTTTTGGACTACAACTCTCATCATCCCCAGCCAGCTATTACAGTCCAAAGCAGCTAGAGGGTACCAGGTTGGGTAAGGCCTGTTAAGTCTGAAAAGATCCAGACCAGGCAGTGCCAGCCTTGGCTACTCAATTTCTCCACACATAAAACCTGAGTCATGTGAGAAACAGAGGGGAAATGGGTATCAGCCCTATGTTTGTTGATTAAAAAGCTAGTGGTGAGGGGTGGGGTGGAACGGACAAATGCTATTATTGATTAAATTACTTTTGTTTGTGCATTTCAGTATCAATGTTCCACAGAAGTGAGACAAAAGATAAGGATGTACCTGTTATGTACTGAAGTTCTCACCCTGGGCCAGCAGGGGGATACTGTAGATAGTTATGCAAATAAGGGATTGAAAGTGACGTTCAGTGATTGGATAGTTTTAGAAAATTGTTACAGTTACATTGTACTGGAGCTCTATATAAGCAGGCTGACTGAACCCTTCAGTTCAGTTCTGTCCTGGCCTGTGAATAAACAAGAGCTGTTTGAAGAATTGCTGTGTCGTCTGATATGTTCACCCACAACTTAACAGTACCACTCTTGAAACTTCTCTGCAAATTGACCTCTCTCAGGAGCAGGGGGTTGCCTCCAATTTCTGTGAGATTTCACAGACTGTTTATTGCTATTTAGGAGCAAATGAAGCTTTTCATTGTGGTGGCCATTTTGCCAGGCCCACATTTTTAGACCTGCTTGCCAGACAGCTTGCAAGTCAGACAGAAGGTCACACCAAGCAAACAAGGGTACACACCACACATTCAAGTAGAGTCAAAACGCATTGGGTTCTAGGGCAGCTGGGATTTGCTAAAGTCACTTCCCACAGACTCCTGCCCCCTTTTAATAATAAATAATAATAATAAATTTTATTTATATCCCGCCCTCCCCAGCCGAAGCCGGGCTCAGGGCGGCTAACAACAATAAAACAGTACAAAAGTACAGCATAAACAATACTCTAAAATCATTCATTATAAAATTCATTAATTCAAGCCACTGGCAACCATTGGGCCAGAGCTCCGCGAAGATTGCCGAGGGAGGGAGTCAGGCTGTGCCCTGGCCAAAGGCCTGGTGGAACAGCTCTGTCTTGCAGGCCCTGCGGAAAGATGTCAAGTCCCGCAGGGCCCTGGTCTCTTGTGACAGAGTGTTCCACCAGATCGGAGCCACAGCCGAAAAAGCCCTGCCTCTTTTAGTTTGTTTTGCCACACACATAAATTTCAGGCTAACCATACTTGTGTAATCTCACAGAGCAACATTAGTGAGAGTTTTGTAATTTTTGATGTTAATTTCAGAAGAGGCCTTCAGAAAACAGCAGTGAAGGAGGGCTTCCAGTAAGTAGGGAGTGAGTAAGTAAGTAAGCAAGTAAGAGCTTTAGGCCTTGCAGAATTTGCTGATCCTTCCCATCACTATTCTCTGCAACTCCACCTTTAATCTCAGCTTTTAAAGCCTTTCCTTTCAACATGTGTCAGACATAGTAGGTATCCTATGGCCACTAAAGAATTTCTCTTGTTTCTGAAAATGTAATTTGAAAAAAATCAATTTCTTTTATAAGCTACTGGAAATGATATGATTATCTCATGAAGCTGGCTTCCTAGACAGATTTGTGTTGATTAGGTGAGGTGAAGTATCTCAAATACTTGGTGTAGCTATTGATGTTGTTTTAATATGCTTTGTGTCTTAATAATATCATTACAATAAAATAATGGGAAAATAATATTCAAAGCAGCCTGTGGAAAGGAAACTGTAATCAAATCATACATATTAACGCTTCCATTGTCTCCTGAGGCAGATGGATGCCAACCACCTAACAAATTAAGACATGTGCTTTATTGTGTACAGCAAGTCCATATTAAATTGTTATAATTTTGATAAAGCATTCTGCTTCACCAGAAAGGAGCTGGATGCGTCTGACAAAGTTTTCTCACAGACCTCCCTAACTTTCTCCCAGGTTAGAGGGCTTAGGAGTCTTTTCTTGCCCCTGTGCTTTCTGAGTCTTGCTTTATTTTCAGTCCTGGGTCCAATTCAGTCTCCAGTTCTAACAGCAGGGATGAAGGAACTTCTTGCTGGGAAGTCAAGCAGGGGAGGCGACGGGGGCAAAAATCCAAGGGGAAAGGTATTGGGAGGGTAGGGAAGGCAAGTGAGTGAGGGAATGGGCAGGCAGGGAAGGAGGAGGAGGCAAGGCAGAAGAGGAAGCTGCTGTCCCGTTGCAGCTCTACACGGCAGGGTCGTCATAACTGCTGTGTAAAGTGACAGCCGCAGCAGGGCACTATCTTGCTGTCTTCCGGGCACTTGGTGAGTAGACCAGTAAGCCTATTCACCAAAGCCACTCAGAGAGGGGCAGCAACTGGAAGAGGAAGAGAACCTGCTGCCACCTCCCCTTTGCATAGCAGCGATCGTGACCCCGTCATGTAAAGCAGCAGTAGGGCGACAGCTTCCTCTTCCCCTTCAGTGCTGCTTCTCTCAGGTGCCACCCGAGGCAGCTGCCTCACCTTGCCTCACTGGTGGGCTGGTGTTGCAAAAATAAACGTTTGGGGCTGAAAGAAAAACTCACGCAGCAAATGAGGAAAACAAAGGGCTTTATTTTGCAAGCCAGCAAAATAGGCACAGAGGAATAAACTCCAAAGTCTGCGTCCGACCCATAAAAAGGGGCGCACGCCTTAATATACATTTCTGTTATTTCCTAAGGCAATGCATATGCATAAACTGAGGCAACTTCTCCTATCCTAGGCTACATCGCCCTATTGGCATACCATTTATGGTCCTTCCTTAATGAATATACATTGAGCAAGCGAACAAAGAACTCTCTCTAAGCAGCGCCTTGTTGCACGTGATCTCTTTGCATTCCATTCTCTATATGGGTATGTATGAGGGAATAGGGCCTCCAAGATGTGTATCTGTGAGATAGAGCAAGGCCAACCATGGACGTACAATGAGAACAAAGGCCGCTCTTAGAGTGTGGAGACAGGAGATCACCCCTTTCTTATGCAGACACCTTTGGAATGTGGTTTCACAAGATAAGGTACTACAAAGAAACAATAGGCACAAGGCCTCTAGCCTGGCTAGTTAGCTGAGCTTATAGGTCTCTATGTGCACCACTGGTGCCCTGCTAATAGGGAAACATATCGTCCTATGGACATGCATGGTTTCCCTGGCGAGTACTGCCCTCTGTGATCCTTAACCAGCCCTTATATTGCTAGTTAAATTGAGTGGCAGGCCTTCCCACTCCACTCCTGCCCCCAAATCCTGCCTTCAGTCACATAGGCTTG